TTGAGGCAAGTCAATGAGGCCTATGAATATGCATATTGTTTATTTCATTTGAACCCCACTTAAACATTACTTTGTCTATTTAATCTGCATATGGAAAACAGCACACCGCTAGACTCAGGATCCAATTTCTTAAAGGAGTTACTAAACAACCCACTTACTCTACTTAGAAGCCAATGACAGGAAGGGAGAAAATCCAAAAAGAAAAAAAAGGAAATGCTCCAATATCTTCACTTGTTTCTTTCATCTCCATGGCCTTGTGGCCCTTCTTCAACAGCTCTAAAAAAGCATCGATATCACACCGATGCATTTTACTTATATTACTATATTCAAGAGAGAACAAGGAATGGCTCACGTAAAGTCCCTTAGCAAAGAGGGGAACCATTCAACAGCTAGCAATAGAGTACAAACTGCCCGTTATTGATGTAAAGTTTGGGGAAGGGATGAGTTCACACCCACAGAGCAGGCAGAATTAGCTTCCTAATCTTTTAGCATCAACTTCTGCCATCTTCTAACAGAGGATTATCCATCTTTCTCTGCCAGTTAGCAGCTCTGTGAGTGCTTTCTAGTAATGAGGGCTTCATATCCTAACTCAGGTGTTAATAAATATCATGTGATACATATGCACAACTCTCATTTTTTCCAGTGAAGTCCACTGCACTAGACATAGCCCGGTGAATTTGGTATATTTTTAAATGGTTACTATTTTTCTACCTCATCCTATAAAATAAAACCCTAATATGCAAATGGACCGAACGGCAGAATGACTGGTCGCTATGACGTGCATTGACCACCAGGGGGCAGACGCTCAACGCAGGAGCTTCCCCCTGGTGGTCAGTGTGCTCCCACAGGGGGAGTGCCGCTGCAGGTGGGCAGTAAGGAGCAAGGGGTTCTGGACTGCAAGAGCCCCGGACTGCAAGAGGGATATCTGACTGCTGGCTTAGGCCCAATCCCTGGCCAGCAAGTGGACATCCCCCAAGGGGTCCTGGACTGTGAGAAGGTGCAGACCAGGCTGAGGGACCCCCTTCCTGCCCCAGTGCATGAATGTGGTGCACCCGGCCTCTAGTCCTATATGATAAAAGCATAATATGCAAATTGTCCCCTCGAGTAGGAGTTCATCTGGGAGTTCAACCAGGGGGCAGAGCCCGCCGGGGAAAGGGAGGGAGGCCCTGGTCAGCAGCCACTAGGGACCCTACCAGTGCACGAATTTCGTGCATTGGGCCTCTAGTTAATAATAATAAAGCTGATTTTACCAAATCCAGAAGTTTGAAATACAGTCCCATAAACAGGTGTAGCATTGGGCCAATATAAGGTCATAAAAGTTATTAGGTGGCTAAATTATTCACCATCAGCAATTGTAAATATAATTGTCACAATCAAGAGTATATAGTTGAGCCCTGGCTGGTGTGGCTCAGTTGGTTGAGGGCCATCCCATGCACCAAAAGGTCTCCGGTTCCATTACCATCAAGACACATGCCTGGGTTGCAGGCTCAATCTCCACTAGGGGGTGTGCAGGAGGCAGCCAATCAATGTTTCTCTCATTGATGTTTCTCTCTCCCCCTCTCCTTTTGTCTCTTTCTCTAGAATCAATTTTATTAAAACAAAACAAAACACATTTTTTTAAAAAAGAGTATATAGTCGATATTAAAGACTGAACCTGATGAGGTAGGTCTGTTGGAGAAGCATTCTTTGTGGACCCAGCCTCAGGCAGGGGTGGAAATCACAACAGAGCTATATTTTGTAGATTTTAATTACTCTGTCACCAGAGTAAACTAAAAAAGTGCAAGAGCCCTAGCCAGTTTGGCCCAGTGGATAGAGCACTGACCCACAGACTGAAGGGTCCCGGGTTCGATTCCAGTCATGGGCACATGCCCGGGTTGCAGGCTCGATCCTCAGTAGGGGGTGTGCAGGAGGCAGCCGATCAATGATTCTCTCTTATCGTTGATGTCTCTCTCTCTCTCTCTCCCTCTCCCTTCCTCCCTGAAATCAATAATAATATATTTTTTAAAATAAATAAAAGTGCAAGGAAAAAAGGAGAGTCACAAAGAAAGAAAGTAGAGGGATGAAGATTAAGAAGTTGGAGACAGCCAAGAAGTCCGTCTCCTCACTTTAATATAGCATGCTCTGAAACACCAAATGGAAGTTATCCTGTTAACCATTAAGTGCCAAACTGGTACAGGCAGCACAATCACAAATATTTGAGCACTGAAGCTGACTCATAAAAATCTAAAAATATTTCATACTTTAGGCTTTCAAAATAGCGTAAGTTTAACCTCTTCCACTCCTTCAGTCATGTTCTTTGGAAGCCAATGTAAAAAATATTTTGAACCTACTTCTGAAAACTGTAATTAAAATGTGGTGAACACAGAAAGCCACATGCAATTAGATTTTAAGGCTTTATCATTCCTACATCTGATCCTGGATTTACTGGATCAGTTAAGTAGCTGTGTCTACTACACTAAAATAAATACATATACGTTTATGAAAAGCATTGCCTAAAAGTCTTAACGGCTATCCCTTTGAGGGAATATCAAAATCTGTATATAAAAAGCCATTTCAAAATTGATCTAGATTAACTACTAAATTCTATATTAAATTTTCTAAGAGTCCCAGATTATAATGTCTTTAAAGGCTGACATATCCTTTCTGACCAGAGACCAGCACAATCTTGTAAAATCAAGACATTTTTAAGTTCTGAGCTTAAAAAGACAGGAAATTTAGGCTGAGGACTTTCTTAACCATACACCCGAAAACACTACGCAGATTACACTGTGTTTCTTATAATTCTTCTGAAAATAAAGACACTTAGTTATTTTTCAAATCATTAGAAATGAAAGGAGCACAGAACAGCCAACGTCAAAGAGGTACCAAGACCCACGTTTTCTACTGTGAAGTACTGTAAAGACACCCGCAGGACTATGTACCGCATTCATCATTCTACCCAAGACATTTTACCAAAGTAACCTACAGGGTTGCAGAATGCCAAAGGCTTGACTACAACAGCTCCATAAATTATACGGAGGAGGAAAAAATTACTTAACAAATGAAAATCAAATAAAAATCCACAAGTGACAGTATCCCTTACAAAGCAACCACACGTGTGCGCGCGCGCACACACACACACACACACACACACACACACAAATTAGAAACTACTACAGCTTTTTTTTTTTTTTCCATAGTACTCAAGAATGCTGGAGAAGTCTAGTCCTGTGAATTAGGCAAGGGACAGCAAATATTAAGCGGCCTCCCTATTGACGCTACTGTACTTCCATTTTTAAAACATGCTTCTCCACTCCCCAGACACCATCGTCCACGGAAACCATGCAGCCCTCCATCAGACTTTCAGTGTCACCATTTATTATTTATAGCGTTCAACGGGGGAAGTAGCTCTGATGTCACCGACCCTGCCCGGTGGAATCACTGACTCAATAAGCGTTTTTCACGCTGGAGACCATCTGGCTGGGAAACATGCGGCTGGGTTAGGCAGCCTCTTTCACCTTTCCCCTCAGCCCTCCCCGGGTGGAAGCTGTTACCGTGTCGGGAGAGATACGGAGAAACTGTCAAGGTTTCCACAGGAAGGAACCCCGGGCTTGTCCATTTGCTGAGGCACTGACTTCCTCCCCAGCCCAGTTTGATTTCCCTAACGTTCAAATTGGCAGGTAATCGCTGCCATGTTTTATTTCTCCCACCCAATCATCCACCAAGTAGCCAATCTCTCATGGTCCCGTTTCTAAAATAAAAAATAAAATAAAATAAAATAAAACCCCTTCTGGCTCCAAGTCCTAAGGGGGAAAGGGATCGGGGTGTCCGCGGGGACGAGGTCCGGTCTGGCTAGAAATGGTTTTCAACAGAAGAGTGATCGCTCCCCCAGGGGCTGATGATTCTTTTCTTTTCTTTTTTTTTCTTTTCTTTTTGGAGAAGAAAGAACAGGCGGGCGGCAGTCATGAGGACAACCCTCCCCCCGCCTCCCCCATTTCCTAAAGCGGCTCTGGCAACGTGAAGTTACTCCTGGGAGACGGAACCCGGAGTACCTGGGGCCTCGCTATGCAAACCTCCCTCTCGGCCCAGTAGGAAACCCTTTGTCCGAGAAGCCGGACATCACCGAGGTCCGGGAAAGAGGCCCTTCATCCGCCACAGCCTCACACCCCGGAGCTTCCCACCCCCGCCCCGCAGGGCCAATCCCGGCACCTACACGGCTCTAGGCTGGGGAGAAGGTGGGAGACCCCTGCTAGGGCGCGGAGGCCCGAGGCCCCGGCCGATCTCCTCCGTCCCCCCTCCCATCACCACCTCACTCGGCCTAAGTGGGGCTTGCAAGAGCGGTGCAGGCCAGGACCGGAGAAATAGAGAAAAAATAAATCCACTTCTCAGAGCGGGAGGAGATGCTAGAGCGAGTGTGAGCTAAGGCCACAGCATTAGCGAGCGAGGGTCGTTCGAGAGATGGGCCCCGAGACAGGACTGGGGGAGGGAGGAGAGCCGAGGGGCCGGGCCACCTCCGGCCTGAGATCTCGAGGGATCCGAAGGGACCGCGCCGGGCCCGAGGCCAGGGAAGGCGGCGAGGGGAGGGGGGAAGGAGGTCGGGGCCGAGACGGCGGGGAAGGGCCGGGGCCGGACGCTGATGTGGGCAGGCCCGCCCGGGGCCGGGCGGACGGAAGAACAGACGGTCCAGCGGGCCGCACTCACCATGAGCTCGATGGTCTTGTCCTCAATCACCGAGTCGGGCTCCATGGCGGCCCCGGCGGCCCCGCCTCGCTCTCCCCGCGCAGCAGCGAACCGCCCGTGCGGAGGAGGCGACGGCGGAGGCGGCAGAGGCGGAGGCGGTAATCGCACCCACTCTAGCTGCCAGCCCGCCCGGGCCGCCGGCAGCTCCGCCCTCCCCCTCGGTGGACGCAGCACGCAGAGCGAGAACTACAGCTCCCAACAGGCGCCGCGTGCTCCGCAGAGCGTTGTGGGAACGGGAAGCCGACCTCTCCTGGCAGCTCGGAGCTGAATTCTGAGCCGAAAGCAGCACTGGGTAGTGAATGCGAGAAGTGCAGACTTAAGGGTTCCCTCCAGATAGAGCCTCGGGAGTTCCATGACTACATGTCCCAGAAAACCCTGCGCGCGGGTTCTCCTTCCGCTGCTTCCTCCTGACTTCCTGGGAGCTACAGGCCACTCAGACCGGAACGGAAAGTCCGAGGCCCACTATTCACTTGTCAGAGATTCTGCGTAGGCGACCCATTTCCGCACATGCGCGGTGAGTGTCCGCGGCGCCCATTCGACGCCTAGGTAGGGGCTAGGCTGGTCAGCGGGCGTCTGGTGGTAGGGACACGTGTTGGAGACAGGTGGGTTCTAGGTACTTTGGAAGGGGATGGGCTTAGGGCTCAGGTGGGGGAGAGGGCGGGCCGGCGAGAGAAGCTCGGCAAGGGAGGAGGGTCGACAAGGGGCATCCCTCCCGGGCATCCGGTGAGGTGTTTGGAGGTTTAGGTGAGGATGAGCTGCGGCGCTCGCTGTCTGTTTGCACCACGAACTGGGAGGAGCCGAGAGATGCAAGGGAATCTGCGTACATTGAGCCCCTCTTACTCACTTATTCGTTCAGAAAACTTCCAGCCACTGCGGGTTACCAGTCTAGACACGGAGTCAGCTCTGAACATCACACACAAGGCCTCTGTTCTCGTGGAGCTTAATTCTAGGGGCGTCGGGGGGCGGGCATTAACCGACAGTGACGGGCGCTGAGAGAGAACGCGGCTGGAGACCTGGAGACGCCTCGCGAACTCCGTCACCGGCTCTGCGAACTGTGTCATCAGCGTCTTCCCATCCGAAACCGCCAGGGACGCCCCGGTGGCCGAGCCAGCTGGGTTTCCTGCTGGTCGCTGCGAGGAGGACGAACACTCCCCCTGGGGGGCGCTGGGACGGCGCAGGGGGGGCCCTTAGGTGGCTTGGGAGCGGGTTTGAGGAAGTGAGGCTCTACCCGGATTAGATGGTGCCGGGAGGCAGGCGTGGGCCTCTGGTTGGGGGTCTCCGTCACTCTGGCCTGGAAGGGCCATTAGTGTGAGGGAGGAGGAGTGTGGTCGTTTGGGAGCGGGTGGGGTCGGACAGTGTGTATGTTCAGATATTGAGGAGCGGTCTTGTTCTGGTCTTGACCTGGCGGGGTTACAGAACGGCCTGGTCTGGTGTCTGTGTTCTGTGAAATGCCTCTGTTCAACGGGAGCGCGGGCCCGGCTAAGAAGGCGAGGCTGTGTCATGTAGTAATAGAGCGGCCTGGCTCCAAGGCGGCGGTTCTCAACCTGTGGGTCGCGACCCCTTTGGCGGTCGAGCGACCCTTTCACAGGGGTCGCCTAAGACCATCCTGCATATCAGATATTTACATGACGATTCCTAACAGTAGCAACATGACAGTTATGAGGTAGCAACGAAAATAATTTTATGGTTGGGTCACAACATGAGGCACTGTCTTTAAAGGGCCAGAAGGTTGAGAACCACTGCTCTAAGGTATCAGGCCAGCATCCAAATGTCAGAGGCTGCCTTCTCTTTCTCACGTGATGGTTTTTTTTTTGCATTCTCTGCACCTGTACAGTGAGGGGACTAAATGAGCTAGAAATCCCACTTCTAAGGTCCAGGATATTGGTTGTTTTTGTGCATGCAGGACACCTTGTAAGCTCCTCGCAGTCGGCATTTAAAGTTCCGTGACCCCTGTCTCGTGCTTTCCACCAGGGGAACTGAGAGAAAAGCAATAGGATTGGACGGTGATTGCCATTAACGTGCTATCCGAATTTCATCGGACCCCCTCCCCTGTCTGGGCCTCGGGACGTTCGTTAGTAAAACAAATCGGTTGCAATAAATGACCCGTGTTTCAGTGACCTATCGCATCATCATAAAACACCCCCAAGACTTAGTAGCTTAAAATATTAGAGTATTTTTCACAACTGTGTGGGTTGACTGGCGTCAGCTGAGCCCACATAGTATAAGCTCCAATTGCTCCTGGGACTGAAATCAGTTGGGAAATCATCAAAACAGCCTCTAGGGCAGCCGTGGGCAAACTGGCCCGCGGCCGGATTTGAAATGAATAAAACTATTGAAATAAAAGACCGTACCCTTTTATGTAATGATGTTTACTTTGAATTTATATTAGTTCACACAAACACTCCATCCATGCTTTTGTTCCGGCCCTCCGGTCCAGTTTAAGAACCCATTGTGGCCCTCGAGTCAAAAAGTTTGCCCACCCCTGCTCTAGGGCAGTGGTCCTCAACCTTGGCTGCACCTTAGAATCACCTGGGAATCTTTTTTAAATCCTGATTTCTGGGCCTCATCCTCCGGAAATTCTGTTTCTTTGTTATGGGGTGGGGTCACAACATTAGTAACAAAGAAAGAGAATTTCTGGAGGATGAGGCCCAGAAATCAGGATTTTAATAAGATTCCCAGGTGATTCTATGTGTGCAGCCAAGGTTGAGAACCACTGCTCTAGGGCCGCCCTTTCCAACTGGGTTATCATCAGTCCAGCTTCTGCAGGATAATTAGCTAGGTTCTAGAGCAGTGGTCACCAACCTTTCGGACCTCACGGACCACCAGTGGTCCGCGGACCCTCTGTTCTGGCTGGCGGTTGGAGTGTCAGTGTTTAGGTTCTTGGTCAGGGCACATACCCAGGTTGCAGGTTGGTGACTGCTGCAGAAGCCGGACTGATGATAACCCAGTTGGAAAGGGAGGCCCTAGAGCAGTGGTGGCTGCTGCTCTAGAGGACATGGCCCCAATGAGCAAATGCTTATTAAACCTTTGCCATTGTCTCATTGGCCAAAGCAAGTCATATGACCCAGCCCAGAGTCGGTGTGGGAAGGGACAGAGTCCAGGTTCGTTGGGAGCCACCAGGGTGTCAGCCAACCAGACTTCTGAGGCCCCGGCACTTTCCACAGGGCCTAGCACATAGGGTTAGGGCAGGAGTCACGAGCTGAATATATCCCTCAAGACATATGTGTATCACACTGTCTTTTCTATTTTAAAATTTGACACTTTCACATTTTAAAATCTGAATCTCCAGCTTCTCTCAAAAATTAAACCCTCTGTTCTGGCCGGCGGTTGGAGTGTCAGTGTTTAGGTTCTTGGTCAGGGCACATACCCAGGTTGCAGGTTTGATCTCCGGTCAGGGTGTGTACGGGAGGCAACCCATCCAAGTTTATCTCTCACATCGATGCCTCTCTGGCTCTCCCTTCCTCTCTCTAAAATTAATAGAAACTTTTTTTTTTTTTAAGACTGGAGTGGGAGCCCTAGCCGGTTTGGCTTAGTGGATAGAGCGTCGGCCTATGGACCAAAGGTTCCCGGGTTCGATTCCGGTCAAGGGTACATGCTTTGGTTGCAGGGTCCTCCCTGGCCTGGACCCTGATCGGGGCTTGTGCAGGAGACAACCAGTCAATGTGTTTCTCTCACATTGATGTTTCTCTCTGTGTTTCCTTCTCTTCCTCCACTCTCCCTAAAAATCAATGGAAAAATATCCTTGGGTGAGAATTAACAACAAAATAAACATTGATGAAAATAAAAGAATCTCTTGTGTGTCGGGGGGGGGGGGGGGGGGGCGGGGGGAGACTGGAGTGGAACCCTGTAACTATTTCTGCCCCGCCAGCTGGCACAGTGATTAACTGTCAATAGAGCACCACAGGGGACACGGCTGAATGAAAGGACTCTTCCTGGCTGAGTACACATCCTCTTCCTTCTGGCCTCCGTGGCACACAGCAGCAGTTTGCAGAACTGTAACTCACAGGCACACGCCGGTGGCAGGGATACCCAGGAGGCGGCTTCCCAGTGAGTTCAGTGGCACCTCAGCAGGCACTTTGCTGCATGCCAGCCCCAGCCTGTGGCATGTTCAAACGATGTACTTTCACCTGTGATGATGAGTTAGGAGGAGAGCTCACTGAATTGTGGCAACTCATTTCCACTAATGTCAAAGAAGGCAGGTCTTTCGAGGGAGAATCTTGTGAAATCATAAAGGTGTTGGTAAGATTGTATTGAAGGTAGCAGCTCTGTATTTTATCCACATGACAAGGCTTCCTGCCTTATCGATCTATCTGTAGAATTCGGGGGGGGAAAAGATATCATGAACTATATATATTTGCACATTTATTTGGATTGAAAAAGCCAGCCTTTCTGACAGTCTAATTTGATTGACTGGTTTGATAGGATTGGCATTGCCAATAATGGGTTGTTAGATTAGTTAAATCTTTAGTTCCATGATTGTGTGGAAAATATATTTAAAGCACATAAGTACAAACATCAGTTCACTTATTGGCAAACATATTGAAATTAATATTTGTGTTTTCCCCTGCCCCTTTTAAACTTAGGTTAAATAGGACACCTGCAATTGGAAAAGTAAAGTGTATAGTCAGAATACACTATGCCACATGAGCAGATCATCCTGTGTATCAGAGACGCAGAACCAGTAAGAGTGAGTTAAGGAATATTTTACAACGAGTTGTTATATAATTGTCAAAACTAGTTAAGCAATCTCTAAGGCTGTTGTCTTCCTGGGCAATAGTGGATCTTAAAGTCCACGGGGCAAGCAAGTCAGGAAGGGGAGATGGGTGGAAGGTTGGGGAGAGAAGCATAGGTGAACTGGGGTCAGACTGAAACCTGTCGGTTCTTAGTGCCCTGACCTTGGTGCTATGGATGTCCTGCAGGGGCGGGAGCCTGTGTCACAGCGCTGAACACCCACCCACACCTGGCCCAGGAATCAGAGAAGTCGAAAGGAGGCTCTAAGTCTAAGGGCATGTGGAGCCATTGCAGAACCAGCCACTCCTCACACCACGGAGGTGAGTGAGCTGATCGACGAGATGTATTTGGGCTACAAAATGACTGCAGTTTCACTTCCACCCAAATCCGTCACAGGAATCTGCCTTGTGGCCCACCCAAGCAGAAACAGACAAGAACAGAATTCAGGGAATGTAGTTTCCTAGCCAAGCTGACCCATTACGAAGTTTTCACACCTTAATACACATATCTGTTTGTGTGAAGTCCAAAGTGGTCAGCCAGCTCTCTATCTTAGAGTTAGACCATCTGCAATTCATGGTCTCCGGTATTAATGGGATAGAGGGGAGGTGCACTAGCTATTAACTGCCTTATCTCAGAAAGTCGTTCCTGCTCACTGTTCATTGGTCAGTGCCCACTCACTCAGTCCTGAGAGGCTGGAAGGGCTGCTAAAGGATGTGCTCTCCTGTGTGACTAAAAAAGAAGTGAAGTAGAATTCGCTGAACAAGTAGGATGAGCTCTGCTATGCAGGTATGATTAATATTCACTTATTAAATCCCGGTAAAGAGTCTCTGGCATGCTCCGAGAAACTGAGTTTCTCCAGTGACAATATAAAAAATCCTTTTAGTAGTCAGGTGGTTCCCAATATTTTGTTGTTGTTTTTTGTGTTTTTTTTTAAATATATTTTATTGATTTTTTACAGAGAGGAAGGGAGAGGGATAGAGAGTCAGAAACATCGATGAGAGAGAAGCATCGATCAGCTGCCTCCTGCACGCCCCCCACTGGGGATGTGCCTGCAACTAAGGTACATGCCCTTGACCGCAATCGAACCTGGGACCCGTCAGTCCCCAAGCCGACGCTCTATCCAGTGAACCAAACCGGTCAGGGCCCAATATTTTGTTCTTAACAAAATTGATTGAATTGAGTTCCCATTTCCTCAGCTATAAAATGGGAATGACGGTGTCTTCCTCATGGGTTATTGAAAGGTTTCAATTAATATGTGAAAACTCTCGGTGGTTGAATGTTGTTAAATGAGAATAATAGCTAATGTCTGTAGAGAGAAAACACACACACAGAGCCGGGCGTGACTTTCAGAACAGATAACCTAAAGTCACACCTGCGGTATGGCCAGTGTACTCAGGAGCTGGTAAGCCTTGTCTGGCCAACGTGGAGAAGTGTGCCCTGCTTTTCCCGCTCCAGCCCGAGAGAAGGACCCCAAAGGCAAAGAGTTTCTCCCTTTGTTATTTTATTAGAAGCATATTTACATTCTTGCAGTTAACTTTGCAAAGAACATTTTACAAAAGCTTTGTATAAAGTTTGGAAACTACATAAAAATAACTTCTATCCTTCAAAAAGGGAACATATAAGTTAGTTATATATACTCTGCCATAAATGGACTGAAAAGGAGGGACAGTTTCTTCTGTCCCTCACAGAGGAAACGTTAGCACAGGGCCTGGGAACACTGCGTGGGCCTTCTCTGCGATGGGCAGTGCACACTGGCTCAGCTGTGAGGCTGGAAGGCCAACCAGACCCCGTCCAGAAAGAACAGGGAACCTGTTAGGGCTCCGGTGGCACTGAGCAGGGAAACAGCAACTCGAACACGATTCCAACGTGAATGGCAAGTCACGTAAGGGAAGGACCAAAGACTTGCCTGAGTCATAAAACCTAATACTCATTCTCACACCCCAGGCTGCAAAAGGCAATGTGCTGTAAACAAAACCCACATCAGCCCCACCTGGCCATTCGCCAGTACTGGCCTGCCCGGGCAGAACTGGGCCTCCGCTCTGTAGTTACACTGCTGCTGGTTCACATTTTCCAGCACCTGTGCACCTAAGAGTCAAAAGGGACAATTGTTTCATTTGTTGATACCTGACCAGTGTCCCATGTGGGTCAAGTCCCGAAGCAGGCGAGCTGGATGCTCACTAACCTAAGAGGACCATCGCCTTCCCACGGCCTCCAGAGCATCTTTACTGCATCTGTGAGACTTGGGCACCCCAAGTCCCTTCTTTTGAATGGCAACTCTCCCTTTGCAAGATCCAGGAGAGGATTACAGCCAGTGCTAAGACTTTGCTTTAGAAAGACAAAGCTTCGAACCTAACCATAAGGAATGAAGAAGGAGAAAGTCCTCCTGGGGGCGGCATTCACTCTGTCACTAGCAGATTAGCACCCAGACTCAATGTGCCCATATGATTTCTCAAAATCACCTTCAGTTTTCTGTCTTGTTTCTTTAAAGCAGGTATCTTCCTGAAGAAGCCATTCATTTACATTTGTTTCAAGTTAGAAACCAAGGTTAAAAGTTTTTTTTGTAAATAAGCCCAATGCCAGTTTGAGCATTTGCCTTCATTGGGTTATCGACACTGCAGCCTTGGGGATCAGAATCTGGGAGGCCAGGATTCTGTCTGAGCTACAGAAGCTTTGCTTCTGCCATGTTCCGGGGGGCAAAAAGCATTAGTTTCTCCCTGATGCTTTTGCTTCCTGAGGACTGCCAGACCTCTGAAGTATAAGGCCAGGCTCCTGGAATAGGAGGAGCACAGGGCAGAGGCAGACAGCTTCCCATTTCACCCGGGCAAATGTGAGATGGAAACAGACTGGGTTGTGGAAGTGCTGGGTGGTGAACACACCCATTTGTCCCTGAACACACACTACCACATGGGGGCCAAAAGGAACCAGACAGTTCACCCCGTACCATCTTGTGCCTCTCGTGCCAACATGCCCCATACCAGCGGCTCCACCTAACATACTCAGCGGCTCAGGCAGCAAATGTGTTCCAACCCACCTGGTACGAGAGGCCCAGGGGCCCAAGCCCTGTGTGTGTATGTGAGTGTGTGTGCAGGAAGTGGGAGGCACAAGATGGCATGAAAAGACCTGGGGCCAGGAGAATGAACAGTTCTGGCTTTCCCATTGCAGACATGGCCTCAAGAGGAAAGCAGATCGGGGAAAGTGGAGAAATGAGGGCACCCCCTGAGCAGCTGGCTGTGAGGAGCCATGATTCTTGTCTGACGCTGCAGGCAATGGCTGAAAAGCCACCAAGAATTACAGCATTTGGACGAGCCCATGGTGACGTCAGCGGCAGCACTTTGCACCCACAGACAGCGAAAACTGGTGTTTTGGCAAACAGGAGGGGCCTCGAGGCTACGGCACACTCGTTCCTCTAGGACCCTGACCACACCCACAACCCGAATCACTGACTGCTTGAAGGGGCCTGGGGTTCAAAGAGAACATATATTAAAATTAGGCGATCCTCCATGAGTGAGCGCGAAGTCAGGAACACGGGTCACTCGGGCAAGGGGCTGGATTCGAGCTGGTGTGGAAGCAAGAGGGAGGGGCCCTGAGTTACTTGCTCACAGAGAGGGGGGGTGCCAGAGGCCCGCCAGCCTGCCAGCCACAGCCCGCATGGCTGTTAGGAAGCATCAGCAGAGCTATAGGGGAAGAACTTGGTGGCCTTGTTTGGGGTGGTGGGGTTCGGGCACTCCGTCTCCTCGTTCAGTTTGAAGAACATCTCCTGCTCCCGCTTCTTCTGGTTCAGATCTTCTTCCAGAGCCTAAGACAGAGAGAGGGTAGATGGAGCTCAGATCCCATCGGACACAGGTCTTCCAACCTCAGGACCCCCACAAGGTGGCCTTCTCTGGGAATTTCCCTCCTGGGCCTTGGTGCCTGGGTCACTTGGTCTTCCCTCTTTCCTTCCCTAGAGCTTATCACCCAGAAAGTAAACACCACCTCCTCCATCCTCCTGCCACAGCCACACAGGAGTTTCCTGTGGGCCCAGGGCTACAGTTTGGGGCAATGCCAGTCTGCACGGGGTGTGGGGAGAGCAGGTGCAAATCTGCTGGCAGGAAAACAGCCAGAGGAGCAGAGGACAGCCTGAGGTAGGAGATGGGGAGGGAGATTTAATAGGAGCAGCAATGTCTGAGTTATACAGTGTTCCTAGCCAGGGCCCTGCCCCACAGAAATCACCAGCTGTTTTCAAAGCACAGTAAAACCTTGATAAAATGAAGTAATTCAGGGGGAGGGGTGTCTGTTAAAGCCAAAAATCCATGATATAATAGAGTAGGTTTTCTGAATGCATGTTAAAAAAATTGACAAATTAATTTACCTGTTTTTACTTATGTAGGCACATACGCGTAATTAAAATTAAGCATGTGTGAAGAGTTTAATTCACAGAAAAATTTTCTATATGTATTTCTGTAATTTTACATCTACTAAGCAGGTCTCGTAAATGTGTGCGTTCCCAGTCACCGCAAGTGAACAGATGCACTTAGCCGGGGCGTGCCTCAGCTCACTCGGGAACATGGGCCAGCACGTGTTCAAACTGCCGCGGACAGGAGTGCTTTGAAATTTCTGGTAATTCACACAGACTCTTGGCTCAAGTTCTCCTTTGCTGGATGTATTAATCTCCAAGTGTTCGTGGCCAGCAAACATATGCAGCTAAAAGGAGTACTGCTTAAGCGCCTGCAACAGAAGTTACAAACCCAGTGCCCGCGGGAGCCAGCCAATGATCACAGGAGTGGAGAGAGCTGGCCGTGGGACGGTAGGGAGTGGTGGGGGCTGTGCTGCGGTGACGAGCACCAGCCATGTCTGAAGAGGGCCGTTTTTCTGTTCTAGCTGACGGCTGTCATGTAGTTTGATGGGTCCAGTGTGACCAGAGTTCCTAGGTTTTCAAAAGAAACTGGAAGTCCAGATTTTTTTTTTTTAATTTTTATTGATTGATTTTAGAGAGAAAGAGAAAGGGGGCGAAAGAAACATCAGCCTGTTGTTCCACTTATTTATGCAGTCATCGGTTGGTTCTTGTGTGGGCCCTGACCAGGGACCGAACCCACAACTTTGGCGTAGTGGGTCAGTGCTCTAACCAACTGAGCTACTCAGGGCAAAATCCAGATTTTAATGTAAAATTTAGTTGGTAACTTTCAAAAAAACTTAAATTGCTATGTATTGGCCAAATCTAAGATCTGTAAGCCAATTTTAGCCCATAGGCCATCAGTTTGGGACCTCTGCTATAGGAATACCAGCTTGATTCTAACAACTACCACAGAGAGTTTAGTAACTTGCCCAGGGTCTCACAGGTAGTAACGGGAGAGCTAGGACTTTATCCTACGTCGCTCTCACTTCCAAGCCTCTTACACACTGTTCCATTCTACCAACCACATCTCTTCCTCTATGTAACCTAAGGCGGGAGGTGACAGCCCTGTATCTGTAAGGGGCCAAACTGGAAATATTTTTGGCTCTGCAGGCAGGCTGTGAGCTCTCTGGCACGGCTTCACTGCAGTTACAGTGCAGTATCCACCACAGACAATGTATCCATGAGCATGCATAGCTATGTTCCAATACACTCTTACTTTCAAATACGGGGAGTAGGTTAGATATGGCCCATGGGCAGTAGTTTACAAACACCTGCTTTTAGGGACTACTTGTCATTCACATTTACAGCCCCAAAAAGCAAGGCTCAGGGGGGAAGACCCGACTTGTCTGAGGTTGCAAACTATGACCTAAGCAACACTTCATTGACCCTACAAGATATTCTGTATTTACCAAAAGAAATCAAAATTTTTCTAAAAATATTCCACAATGCACAGTCATCTCCCCTGAACCCATACACAGACAGCATCTCAAGGCTGCTGACTGTAACGCAAGAGGGTTAAAGGACATTTGTTCCAGAATGGAAATCACCTCTGGGTCAGTGTTCTAGCAGCAACCCAGGTCGCTAATGATATAACAATTCTATAGGGAATTCTGGAGAGGCAGCCCCCTCAGCAAAATGCAATGCCAGCTCCTCAAACACACTTGTAATTTCTCCCCGAAGCCCAGGTATCCCCATGGAGCAATCTGGGATATGAGGCAGTTGCTAGAGGCAACGTAACCCATTCCTTTTCTAACTTTCTCAGGAAGTGCCAAGGGTATATAGAACCCGCAGGTAAGAAAGCAGGTTAAGCCCTAACCGATTTGGCCTGCGGACTGAAGGGTCCCAGGTTCGATTCCGGGCAAGGGCATGTACCCTGGTTGCGGGCACATCCCCAGTAGGGAGTGTGCAGGAGGCAGCTGATCGATGTTTCTGTCTCATCGATGTTTCTAACTCTCTATCCCTCTCCCTTCCTCTCTGTAAAAAATCAATAAAATATATTTTTTAAAAAAGCAGGTTAATATTTATTTCCTTTCCAGAGTCAACCTATGCAGGAGCATTACTGATTTGAGTGTCAAGTATTGAAAGTCTCAGCAGGCTGTCGTTACAGAAACTGATGCGTGTGGGCCTGCAAAAAGGAAGTGCTGGGACCCTGGCCAGCTTCCAGCCAGAAAGCTCCATTAGCACAGGGAGGGCAGCCTCAATTCAAGGACTTCCAAGGCCATTACATAGCTGAGGTGAGCAGCGGCCTCCTGTCCAGACCACAGTTATAGCAAGCGGAGTTGATTTGTGATGGCAGGACAAACCTCAGGGCTTCCGGCCACAGCACCAAAGAGAACCAGGCAGCGCTCTCTTCAGAGAGATTAGGCGAGTGTAAGGAAGTGAGCATGTCCTTGGGCTGTACCATGGGTTGGTGACTTTCCACATAACACTGTACAATATTCATTTTGTACATCTGAAGTGACCACACTGAGATTCTGTGAGGGTTAATTTACTTGCCAACCGGGTACGGCCGTGGTACCCAGCTGTTTGGTCAAACACCAGTTTAGATGTCATTGTGAAGGAATTATTTAGATGTGATTAACATTTAACTCAGTAGGCTCTGAGTAAAGCAGATCACCCTCTATATCAGTGGTTCTCAACCTTCCTAATGCTGCGACCCTTTTATGCAGTTCCTCCTGTTGTGGTGACCCCCAACCATAAAATTATTTTCGTTGCTACTTCATAACTGTAATTCTGCTACTGTTCTGAATCGTAATGTAAATATCTGATATGCAGGATGTATTTTCATTGTTACAAATTGAACATAATTAGAGCATAGCGATTAATCACAAAAACAATATGTAATTATATATGTGTTTTCCGATGGTCTTAGGCGACCCCTGTGAAAGGGTTGTTCGACCCCCAAAGGGGTCGCTACCCACACACAGGTTGGCGACGCACAGGTTGAGAACCGCTGCTCTACATCGTGGGTGGGCCTCATCCAACCAGTTGAGGGCCCCATAAGGAAAAAGCAATTCTGCCTCCAGACTACTCGAGGGCTCAAGACTGCAACACCAGCTCGTCCCTAGGTTGACGTGACCTGCCCTGCAGACTTCAGGCTTACCAGCCCCTACAACTGTGTGAACCGGTTCCTTATAATAAACCTATAAATGTGTGTCTTATCTGTATGCACCTCCTAGGCAGACACCTGTGGCACAGCATGGAGCACAGCCTACCTCTGAGCCCCCAGCCCAGACACGGTTACCTTTTTGCGTGGCCGAAGCCTGTCCCGCCATTCCTTCAGGTTCTGGTTATGGCTCTCGTCCAGGGCCTTCAGCTTCTGGGTTTCATGTTCTACCAGGAGGTGACACTTCTCATTCTGGAACAAATCCCAGGCAGAACAGGTAAGAATCTCAGGAGCCAGGAAGGGGTGGGGGGTGGGGGTGGTCAGGGGTCTCCCTAGGGAAAGGGGCCACCAAAGGGCTTGGCAGCACCAGGACACCTGGTGCTGTTCTTTGTGGGAAAGCTTTGAGCTTCTCCCCACAAGGATGGCGATGAGCTGTAGGTGTTTTGTAGACGTTCTTTATCACGTTGAGGAAGGTCCCCTTACTCCTAGTTTGCTGCGAGTATTTATCATGAACAGGTGTTGGCTTTTGTCAAATGCTTTTTCTGCATCTGATCAGCCTAAAAAAGGATGCCAATGTCAAGGATTACATTAATTGATTTTCAGATGTTGAACCAGCCTGGGATAAATCCCACCTGGTCATGGTGTATAATTCTGGGATTCAGTTTGCTAATAGTTTGTTGCGGATTTGTGCATCTGTGTTCATTAGCGATACCGGTCTGCAGTTTTCCTTTCTTGTCTGCATCTGGTTCTGGTATTAGGGTAATTAGGACACCCTTTCCCAAAACACAGTGATGACTGAGAAATCCAGCAGGCTGCCCACTGTGAGGCCCGGGCAAGGCACTTCCAGCTCATGTCAGAGCTTTACTCCCATCCTGCAAAATGGGACTTGTCACCCACGCCCGTTTTATGGATGTGGGAACTATGGCTGGGGAAGGGGGAGTGATCTGGCCAACTCTGTGGCACCCTGGGTCATCAGATGAGAAGCCTTCCCTCTTAGCAGGGTCTCTGTCCCTGAGCTCACTGCCCTGGGGGAATGTGAGGCAAGGGGGCAGCGGAAGGCCGGTACCTGCAGCTGCTGCAGCTCACTCATGTTACTCTCGCACTGGGCCGCCATGTCCCGCATCTGGTTCTCATGTTTCTGCTGCTGCTGCAGCCGCTCTGCCTTCTGCCTCTTCTCCTCTTGCTGGGAAAACTGCAACGGAGAGAGGGGCGGGTGCCTCAGGGACCTCAGGCTGGGCTGGGGGCCACCTCAGGCCGTTCCAGGGAGGCCCTGTCAGAGGGGCTAGTACCCCACAGCTCTCAGGCTGTGCCCCCTCCCCCGTTTTAAGTTCTCCCTCTGAGCTGAGACCCAGCCCCTGCCCTCGAGGCTGGCGGGGACAGGACACTGTGCTGTGACGTGTGCTAGGAGCCACAGGAGCGCCTCCGGTCTCTGAGCCACACTGGTGACGTGCGAGTGGGGTCGTGGTGGATGAGAGGGGGTTCAGCAGCAGGGGAAGCTGCAGGGTAGAGGCACTGCAGTGTGAGGGAGCAGGCATGAGCAGGTCTCGCCAAGCTTCCTCTGTCCACCAGAGAGGGGTCCCGGGGAGGTTATAGGGTCCTGAGCTGTGTGACTGGCACACCTCTTTCCAAGACCCTCTGCGGCACCTTCTACTTTATGTTCCCCAACCTTGAAAGGTAAAGCTGACCTGTGCCCGCCCCGCACACCACGGGCCTACCTGCTTGATCTTCTCGCGCTGCTCGGCAGCGCTGCCCGCCCCGCTGATGTGCAGGCTCTTCTTGTACATGGCCATGCGCGTCTTGCCCTCGCTCCTCTGGATCTTGGGCAGCCGCGCCTTCTCCTGCTGCTGCCGCGCCTTCAGCTGCTCCACCATGCGCTGGTTGTAGCGCTGCATCTGCTCCCGCTCCTGGAGGGGGACAGGCGGCGGGCCAGGTCAGTGCGCTCCGGGCACAGGGTGACGGGGTGTCATCAGGAGCCCAGGACCCACCTGGCCCAGAATGCTCAGCGGAGCGAGGCTGTGTCATTTCACACCTGCTGCTAAGTAACATTGTCTGTTCTCACTTTAAAAATTGTTAATAGTGTGGATTCTTCTAAATGCCCTGCCATCTAATCAATGCTGGCATGCCGTTTCAAAGCTCACATCTCAAAGCAAAATGTACACTGAAACGGATGGTTTATCATTTTGGTGGCAGGTGTCAATTCTTATTTTTAATATATTTTTTATTGATTTTTTTTTTTATTGATTTTTTACAGAGAAGAAGGGAGAGGGACAGAGAGCCAGAAACATCGATGAGAGAAATCGATCAGCTGCCTCCTGCACGCCCCCCAGTGGGGGTATGCCCACAACCAAGGCACATGCCCTTGACCGGAACCGAACCCGGGACCCCCGAGTCCACAGGCCGACGCTCTATCCACTGAGCCAAACCGGTTTGGCCAATTCTTATTTTTAGAAGTCTTGCTAAATTCCTTCACCTGACACATATTTGTATTTCAGTGTCACCTCCAGCAAGAAGCCTCCCCTGACTTCCTAGCCGGACTGAGCACCCGATTCGGAGCCGCCACAGTGGCTTAGGTCAGGAATTACCCACAGCAGCTGTGCAGCCAGACCTGTTATCTGTGTGTGTCCCCACTAAGGGGACTAAACCGGGACAGACGACTACCCAGACGTAGAGGGTGCACTGGCCACACAGAGCTGGGTCTCACCTGGTCTGGGGAGGTGAGGGAAGGCTTCCTGGCAGAGGACATGTTTAAGTTGATACCTGGAAGTATTCTGAAGGAACCCATGGGGAAGAGACAAAGGAAAGAAAGGCGGGGCAAAAGGAGAGAGGAAAGAGAAAAGGGCATGAAAGGGACATAGGTGTCAGAGTCAGCGAGGGAGCTGCTTGGACCATCGCTGCCCTGCATGGTCTCCCCTATTTCTGGCCCCTTGAGCCAAGGCAAGACGTCCCCCAGAACCTCCCCAGGCCTCCCCGTGGCCAGCCTCACTCCTCTGGGAGCAGATGGTACCCGAGTGGTGCCCCATCACGGTGCGGGCTCCCACTCTCCCACCCGGAGCCTCACCTTCTCGTGCTTGCGCACCAGCTCGTGCCGCTGGAGGAAGTACTGGTCCTTGAGCTGCTGCTTGACCAACTGGTGCCTCTCCTGCAGGTGATGCTCCTCCATGTCCCACAGGGCCGCCTCCCGGTCTGCGGAGGACACACTGCCTGGTGAGCTGCTGAGGGCAGAGCCCCACCGGGCCCTCCTCTCCCTCCCCTGCCACAGCCCAGCTGATGACTGTGCCACCTCATCAGACTACGTGGGAGAGTTGACTGGGCCAACTCCTGGAAACTTCCTTAATACCTACGGGTGAGAGCTTGCTACAGCAAGACGTGTTCGGAATCAGGAGCCTGAGAAGCCGAGACCTGGGCTGAAACCCAGCTCCATCATGGATTTAACACAGGAAAAAAGGCGGCCCCAGGCCTCAGCTTCCACCTCTGCCAAATGGGCACAACCCGTACCACAGAGGGAGAATTGTCTTTGGGAGACATTTATGTTCCATCTACACGGCACTCTGCTCTCCGAACAGGCAAATGGAAAACCCTCGGGAAATGGGTGAGACCCTCCCTGTCCAGTATATGCATTACGCGGGCAATAACACGGCATCTTATCCCTGAGGTCTATTAGTCAACACTCTGCTCTGCCACAGGGCGGGGAGCTGGTGTCAGACAGAGCACTTCATGGCCTACGAGTCACAGAGCAGGTGGTGCTCAGCCCGCTGCAAACGGACCGTCTGCTTCACTGCATTCCCGTCGTGTGAAACCAGTCTGCCCAGGGTCCATGGGAACAGTCAACCCCACCGCCCACCGGTAACATGGTTCTTATGCACATCACGGGACAAAGCGAACGGGGCTCTCGGAGACATCCGTGCTCTATTCAGAGCGTGGGAACATCGAGGACCATTTTTCCGGTCCACACCGAGTACCGAGCCACCAGAGCCCGGCTGTGGCACCCGCCCGTCAGTGAGCCGGAGATGGCACCGTGTTTACTTCTTCACGAAAGCCCACGGGCTCCAAACTCACTTTTCACCCACCCAGTTGTTTTCAATGTGGTTCACGTCACAGATTTCTAGGCATTTAGAGCTCGCTTGCTTTGCACGCCCCTCAGAACTGCACCCAACCTCTGCTCCCCGAAAAAAAGATAAAACCCATGGTTCTGAAAGAGCCGTTGCCCTTCAGAGCTCCCTACACCAGAGACTCCCCCTCTGAGCTGCCTCAGCCAGGCACGCGCTCCGTCCTGATCCCTCTTCCCCGCTGCTCCCCCTGCCTCCTCCCTCTGGCTGGGACCCACACAGTTGTCCCTGGAAGGTCTCATGCTACGAGGGACTTGCCAGCATGCAAACCTGTCAGAACGCCTGCGCACAAGAGTAAAGGGCTCGCCTTCCAGGCGAGATCTGCATTCAAGGCCAACCCGACCCATGAACTGCAGCCTCGGCCAAAGAACAGTCACTCGCTAAGCCTGTTTGCTCATCTATAAACCTGGGGGAACAGTGGACCTGCCTTGTGTGCCTTGTAGGGGGTGAGGTGAGGAGTCAGTGCGAGTAAGGCATGAAAATGGGCTGGCGGAGCAGTCGCTCAGTACGGGACGGCTGTCATAAGAGGCGCTCAGTGCTGTCCGCGCCCCCTGCCACCCCAGGCATCCAGCTCACGTAGTTTCACCCATCCCCACCAGCGCCTTGTTTGCCCCTCGACGTCTGGAATCACTTCAAGTAGCGCCGATGATGACGGGCATCTCTGCCTCGCGCCTGACTTCAGCGGGGGTTTTCCTCACGCTTCACCGCGATGGTTAGTTTTAGGATGGAGAAGACCCAAGGCTGGATGTCCACCGACAGATTCTAGGCCACCCTGGGCCCGCCCGCTCCAGCACCCGCTCCAGCACCCGCTCCAGCACCCACCTCGAAGGAGCTCCTGCTTCCGAGTCAGGCACTCGCGCTCCTTGTCACAGATCTCCCGCCTGTTGTCGGCCGTGATCTTCTTCATCGCCTGCTCCAGGTCCTCCTTCTGCTTGGCTAGGAAGTCCCGGTCCTGTGGGCAGTGGGAGGACAGACCTCTGCTCAGTGCCGGCTTTTATTCTTATGACAGAAGAGAAGTCGGCGTGACCCCAAAGAAAACTTAGGGCATGTCCAGCAGGGAAACGAGACTTAGAGCAGAGCAGCCAATGGTGATGTGCGGGCTTTGTATGGACCCGGGTTCAAACCACAAGTAAGAAAAGGGGTGTCTGAGACAACTGGAAATGTGAACACTGACCTGACTGCGAAGGGTGTTAAGCAACTTTTGTGAAGTATTTAAATTTGGGGGGGTGTTTACGGTATTGTGGTTATTTTTTTAGAGCTACATGAGATTTTTATACCTATATACATAGCAGCATTATTCACAATAGCCATGGATGGAAACCTCTCTAGTGTCCTTAGACAGATGAATGGATAAATGTGGAATATTATTCAGTTGTAAAAAGGAAGGAAATTCTGACACATGCTACCACATAAATGAATCTTGAGGACACTATGTTAAGTGAAATAAGCCAGTCACAAAAGAACAAATACTGTATCATTCCACTTACATGAGGTTAAATTTGTAGAGACAGAAGGTAGAATGGTGGGTGCCCAGGCTGGGGAGGAGGAATGGGAAGTTAGTGTTTCATGGGTGTAGAGTTTCAGTTTTATAAGATGAGAGAATTCTGCAGAGGATGGTGCTGGTTGCACAACAGTGTGAATGTGCTTAATGCCAAATGAACTCTACACTTGAAAATAGTTAAGATGGCAATTTTACATTATGTCTATTTTACCAGAGTTTTAAAAAAAATTTTAATGAAAACATGCTCAAAGTCATTAATCATCCGAGAGATGCAAATCAAAACGACAGTGCGGTACCATCTCACACCTGTCAGAATGGCTACCATCAACAAACCAACAAACGGCAAGTGCTGGCGAGGATGCGGAGAAAAAGGAACCCTCGTGCACGGTTGTGGGAACGTGAGGGTGTCCTGGGCAGAACATGAAGTCTGGCGTCAGACTGAGTTTGGGGCCTCGGCCCCCACTGTTAACTCTTCAGAGTCACCTCTAATTCCCTCCTCTGCAAAGGGAGGATGAAGCTCAACCAGATCATATACAAAGCCTTTGTCAGTGCTGACGCTCAATTTATCCGCATTTGGGCGCAGAGGAGACAGGATGTACCAAGAAAGTGAGAGCATGGCCGACAGGCTGGTAGGGCTGGGGCAGAGGGAAAAAGTCAAGGGGGAGAGGCTGGCAGGGGCCGGGCCAGACCTGCAGGGCCTCGTAAGCACATGAGGAAGCCGGTCTTATAGACAAAGGCGGAGCCACTGAAGTTCTCAAGGCAGGGCTGTGGGGGAGGGTGACACAGTCACACTTGCTGGTGACAGAACTGCAGAGGAACATGAGAGGAAGCAGGGAGACTGGCTGGGAGGAGGCGGTAGCAGTTCCGGCAAAAGATGACAATGGCTAGGGAGCCGCAGAGATGTGGACAAGTTGATGGATCCAGAGAGAGTTTGGAGATTGGAAAAAAGGAAACCATGTTTCAGGAGGTGATGAGGGACTGGAGGAAAAGGAGGTGCCAGGAGTTCCGGCTTCTGGCCTGACAGCCAGGTGCAGGATGGTGCGCTCTCAAAAGACGAGAATGGGACCGGGTCTGGGAGATCGTGGGTTTGATGTCGTTGAGACTCCAAGATGCCAAGTGGACGGGTGGATGGACTGGGTTGATCAAGGAGCTATGACATACCAACAGCCCTAAAACAAGGCAGGAGGCATGTAAGGCTTTGGGAGAGGGGGATGTGAAGGGCTGGGGTATCAAGAGATGGGAGAACTCACGTCCAGCTGGAGTGAGGGCAATCAAGGAAGGCTGCAGGGGAGAGGTGATAACAGGGATGACGAGACGGCGGGCTGGATTTAGGTATTCAGAATCATAGACGCGTATTCGAGGGGTAGGGTGTAGGCATAACAGAGAGGACCTGGTCACCGTTCAGAGTCTCAACCTGGGACTCCCGAGCCCCTCCACTCCCTGAGCGAGGGGCAAGGACTCACAAGATGCTGCTTTTTCTGCGCATGCTCCTCCATCTTCTGCTTCATGCTCTCCTTCCGCTGCTGCCTGGGGAGCTTCTCCACCTCATTCTTGACCTGCAGACAGTGGCTGGGTCAGGGTACCGCCTCACACTCCCTAACTCCTGGGCCAGGGACACCGAAGAGTAGGCTCAGGCTTCTAGGCACTGCCCACCCCCTCCTGCAAGCCACTCTGACAGGTGGCACCTACTGGCACATTCCTGACTGCTGACTCAGTTTCCAGACTCCCTCCAAAATATGAATCCCACAGATACACTGTCCATCTCTTAAACCATTATAATATTGAAGCTGTTTTTAACCCCCTTGGTGGGGGTGTCACCCCAGCAGGGAGTGCGTGCTTTAGGTACTTCCTCCTCCGTTTCTGAGGTGCAGGTGGCACTGACACCCCATCCCATCTGGCTCTAGGCTGGGTATATGGTCTACGCTGTCAATCAGCATGGTGCACAGTGGACATGTGGCCCTCTCTGGGCCAGTGAGAGCTTCAGGATGTTTGCTGGAACCATCAGAGAAAAGCTGCTTGCTCTCCGGCCTCTGGGATTGCTAAGCTGGGAGGATGGAGGCCAAGGTGGGCCACCCTGGAGGGGTCTGCCTGAAAAAATTAACACCGGGAACAATGCCAACTATATGCTGTCTCTAAGAAACCGGCATTAAACATATAGACGGTTAAATTAAAAGGATGGGAAAAGATTCTACTCAAACACCAATCAACAGAAAGCAGGACTGGCTATCAGACAAAGCAGACTTCAGAACATGGAGTATTATCAGCAATAAAGAGGGACATTACATAAAAAGGACAGGTCAGTTCACTAAGCAGATAGGACAATTTTAAATAACAAAGAACTTCAAAAGCAAACAAAAAGGGACAAACGGAAGGAGAAATAGATAAAGCCCTAGTTATAGCGGGAGACATTACACTCCTTCCTCAGTAGCCAACAGAGCGGGTGGATGGAAAGTGGGTACGGCTGTAGAAGGCCGGAACCACACTGTCCATCCGCTGGACCTACTGGACACGTATGGAGCACCGCCCAGCAGCAACAACAGACATCCCCTCAAATGCACATGGAACATTCATCGACACAGACCACATCCTGGGCCATAAACAAATGTACGTACATTTTTAAAAGCTGAAATTTAAAAAAATATATTATTTAAAATGAAGTTAAGCTCAAAATAATTAACAGAAAGATATGAAAATCCAAAAACATTTCAAAATTAAACTTTGAAGCAAACCTTAACCCACAGATCAAAGAGGAAGTTACATAGGAATTAAGATATTAATCAAATTGCCGAAACCGGTTTGGCTCAGTGGATAGAGCGTTGGCCTGCGGACTGAAAGGTCCCGGGTTCGATTCCGGTCAAGGGCATGTGCCTGGGTTGCGGGCACATCCCCAGTAGGAGATGTGCAGGAGGCGGCTGATCGATGTTTCTCTCCCATCGATGTTTCTAACTCTCTATCTCTCTCCCTTCCTCTCTGTAAAAAATCAATAAAATATATTTAAAAAAAAAAAAAGATATTAATCAAATTGAATAAAAAAAGATGCAACATATCGCAATTTGTGGAACGAGGCTAAGGCAGTGCTTACAGGGACACATAGCATCACATGCTGACATCAGAAGAGCATAGGCTCAAACCAATGAGCTAAGCTTCAACATGAAGACACTATAAAAAGAAGAGCAATTTAAACCCAAACCAGATAGGAAAGCAGAAATCCCTGACACTGAAAACAGAAAATCAATGAAACCAAAAGCTGGCTCTTGGAAAAGGTCCATAAAACAAACAAACCTTTAGCCAGATGGACAGAAAGAGAAGAGGGAGGAGGAGGAGGAGGAAGAAGAGACTAGGGCACACATTATCACAAGAGGATGAAAGAGAACATCACTACAGATCCTGCAGCTACTTAAAGGGTACTACGGAATACTACGGATAGCTTTGTGCCAATAAATGTAACCGCTTAGACGAAACAGACCAATTCCTTGAAAGAAGCTACCAAAGCTTTCACTGAAGCCAAGCCCGTGCCCCCGGCACTGGACTGGGGACATGCTTAGCCCCCGCTTCTCCCTCCACCCGCCACGTTCCAGGGTAAGGAGACTAAGGTACTCGCCTCGGGCACAGAAGGGAACGCCAAAAAACTCAGTAAGCAAGATAAATAGCATCTTAAAAACAACATCCAAGACAAGAAATCATGAACAAAATGTCAAAATTTTAAGTGCAGACAAGATCCAGCCCTACACTCGAAGGACTCCGCCTCACTGCCTCACCTTAATCCTGGTCCTGTCGGATCCTGTTTTTATTTTAAATAGCCGACATTCTGTTCATTATGAAGATGTTGCTCGAATTTTTATTTTAAACCACTGCATTAGAATATTATGCCTTGATTTCCGAGTTTGTTTGGCACCCTCTTAAACTGCGTGCCTGAGGTGAGTGCCTCGCGGGTCTTACCCCAGCCCCAGCCCTGCTCCCTCAGGTCCCTTGGCGACACCAAATGCCATGCCCATCACAGTGCAGTCTGGGAGCTGGGCTTTGAGCCCCCGACCTGCCCTGGCCCGTACAGTGGACTACCCCTAGAGGCCGTCCACCCACTGCTCCCATCTGGAGATTGGGAATGGCCTGGATTGGTGTGCCCACCCTGGGGGCTTCCACCTCCCGTCTCCCTCCTCCCTCCTGAGAGCCTAGGAAAGCACAAGTGTCGCAGCCTCCCGGTGTCTGGCTCACCCAGGGGGGTGGGGGTGGGGGCTGTTCTTAGGGACCCCGGGGCAGGCTGAAAGCCCCCTCCCTCCCCTTGCCTCAGGACCATCTCCCTCTGGGCCACCTCCCCCTTCCAGCTGGGTGGGGGGAAAGGGAGAGGCTGCATGGGTACAAACTCAGGAACTGCTCTTCTGGGAGAAAAGAGAGGGGGGGGCATGGAGGACACGTGCGTTTGCCCACCCAGCACCCACGCCCCCTGCTGGTGACAGCATCTCAAATTCCCCGGGTCACCATCCTTCCTTCTCCCCTGCTCTCTCAGCTGGGAGTTGGGAAGCTGGAGGGGCATAGGCAACTGCCCGAGACCACGTGGCGAGGGCCAGCCTGGGAGCCGAGTCCACACAGGAAAGCAGAGCCCGGTGACACAGGAGCGGCTCCTCCTGGTGCGGCCGGGGCACGTCGATCCAGACATACCTGGACGGGGGCTCTGCAGGAAAACGAGCTCCCCCAAATTCCCTCTGTGCTGGGGCGAGGCTGAGCTAAGGTTTGAATTGCTTATAACCGAGAGGGTCCTCGTCTGCCTGGACACCCGGCCTCCGCCCAACACTCACTCACCTCCTTCTTCATCAGCTTGAGCTGCTCCTGGAACCTGGTGTAGTCCCGCTCCTGCTCCAGGCGGATCCGCTTGGCCTCGTCCCGGCGGCGCACAGCGTGGTCCTGCTCCATCTTCTCTACTTGCTGCTTCTGCTGACGCTCCAGGTTCTCCAGCTCCGTGTCAAAGAACTTCTTCTTGGCCTGCAAGGAGCAGGAAGAGGAGTTCAGCAAAGTCACTTTATAAGTCGCTGGGAGGAAGATGGGGAGCAGGATGGGAAGAGCCCGGAACTTGTCCTCAGGCCTGGGCTTAAATCCCAGCTCCGTCACCTCTTCACTGTGTGACCTGAGACAAGTCGCTTGACCTCTCTGAGTCTCTCTTTCCTCATGTGCAAAAGGGGGACAGACCATCTACCTTGCAGGTTCTTGCCTGGTGCTCAGCACAGACTAGTTTCCCTCTAGAGATGCTCTGGTGTGACTCAGAGAGGCTCTGTGCCCTTCATGTGATTCTATGGTACACGTCAAAGCCTAATGAGACCAGGAAAGCAGGGGAACTGGACAACGGTGGGTTACTCTCCGCTGCGCGACCGCCCCCACTCTGCAGCTTCTGCTTAAAGAAAAACTGGCAAGAAGCCCTACCGGGGCCCATCTTTCCTCGCACTCACGTTGATTTCTTGTTCAAAACGTTTATGCATCTGCTCCAGCTGCAGCTCGTGCTTTCTGCTCAGCTGGTTCTGGTTCCGATGCTCCTCTTTCTGGAGCAGCCGAAGCTCTCGGAGTTCCTGGCGCCTGAGGGTTAAATGGTGTGGACACCGCAGTCAGAACGTGGCCTCAGAGATCCCAGAACTCACAGCGAGGGGCACTGAAGGCTGGAGGTGGAGCAGCACCACACTGGGGCAGAGGCAGGGTTAGAACTCGGGCTCCATTTGACATTTATGGGCGGACAAAACATTCACAACCTTAATATGTAAAGAGTACTTACAAATCAGTAAAACAGGAATATCCTAAATTTAAACAGTCACAGAACGTGGACATGAAACAAAAGACAAGAAATGTTTAAATAATGTATATAGATATGAAATGTAAATTAAAAAGGAATGCCATTCTGATGAACTACACAGGTGAGATTATAGGGGAAATCGATACTTTTGTAACCTGCTGAGGTATAAACTGGTACAACATTCCTAGAGGACAGTTTGGCAATAAGTTTGTGCCCTTTGAGATAAGAGTTCCACTTGGGGATAATATTCTAAAGCAGCATTCACACATGCACAACAACAGTGAACAAGGATATCAGTAACAGTCCCTCAGTATAGGTCTAATTAAATGAAAACATAGCCATCTGATGTAATTAAAAATCAGGTTTTAGAAGACAATTACGTGGAAAACCATGTATTTAAAATGCAACAATTCTTTATGAGAGAGACGGGATGAGCTCTGTTGACAGGTGGATCTATTAGGCAACCCTACCATCTGGATGGGGGAAAGAGTGTATGTGTGTGCACAGGGGTATGTGAGTTTACTTTCCTATCTACACACTGTATTTCTGGAAGGATTACAGCAAAAAGCAGCAACACCAGGAGGGGACTGGGCGCCTGGCAGGAAAGTGAACGAGGGAGATTTTTCACTGTTTACCCTCTTTTTTGAGTTTTGAACTATATCATATTTCCTATTTAGAATGTACACCTTAATTTGTAACCTGTGTATTGCCAGTGTATATATTCACAGAAAACACTGGCAGGATAAACCCCAAAATGTTTACTGTGGCTCTTTCTGAGCAAGTCCATTGAAAACTGATATATGTTGTTTATATAATCAGAAAAGAAGAAGAAATTAAAATGATGGGGGAAGAATTGGGCCTGCGACTGAATGGGGCCTGCGACTGAATGGGGCTCTCCGGCAGCTGTGTCCTGTTCTCGCCCAGGGTCTGCAGGCTGCTCCACGGGGTCCCCACTGTGACCCCTTCCTCGCAGCTCGGAGAAGGTAGAGCTGCTCGGGGAGCCCGCCAACAGCTGCAGGAGGAGAGGCCACATCTGGGGTCCGAGGGACCGAGTTCGAATCTTAGCTCTGCCGACTCTGCAGCTGGGCGCCGTCAGCCTCGCTCAGCCTTGCAGGCGGCTGTCACATGGGGCAGATCATCTCCACCTCTCAGGTTCTTGGAGGGTTAAATGAGGTGATACCTGCACTGCCCTGCCTGGCACACAGCACACACGCCCTAATGGTAACTTCTCAAATGACGATGAGGAAGCAGAGCCAAAGGCCTCTGGGAAAAGCAGAGACATTTAATGTACAGCCACCTAGAAGAGCTTCGGCTGAGCCTCTGCCCGCCCTCCGGGAAGGAGAAGGCAGGAGGCGGCTCTGAGAGTCTCAACAAAGAAATGGAAATCTTGCCTCAAGAGAAACAGGCTCCCAGAACAACTGACCAAAAGACAAAGGGATCAACAGCCAGCTTCTGACCTCCCCTCCTGCCCCGCCCTCTCTCACAGGGAAGGCGGGCAGACAGGCAGGTGGCGGAGGAAGGAAACAACCAGCGCCCGCAGTTTTGGGGGAAAACAGAAAGAACACGGGCCTAGAAGCCTCGATCTGGGAGAGTGTGAGTCAGTCCCATGGTCCTGACGCCTGCCTGCCCAGTCCTCCGGAAATGCTGGGACCCAGGGGTGACAAGGGCTGTGGCCAGCTGGGGATGACCGGCGCCTTCCACCCCTGCGGCCTGGCGGCCTGGCCACGCTTGCCGGCTGCTCCGGCCTCAGGACCACAGGCAAACAAGAAAGCCTTGTTGCTCGAGAGCACCTCTCCTCCGCCTCGGCCAGGTCTCCCCTTCCGAGCCTGAGCAGCAAGCACACAGCTCCTCTGTTCAGGCCAGGCGGCATCGCTTCTCGATGGGGTGGCGAGTCTGCAGTTTCAACCCCAGAAACCTAAAGTTCCCGGAGGGGAGATGGAGAGCCAGCCCCTGAGGTCTGAAGCCGGAGGAGTGCAAGTCACCTCCCAGGGGACCATTCAAACAGGAGGGGGCATCCCCTGACAGCAGCCGGTCCCTCCCCACTGGCCCAACCCACACAGATGACACCAAAGTGCACACGCGTGTACACAGCTACGCCCCAGTGACGTCTGCCTGTCTGCCTCCGTCTCCTGCTTCCTACAAGGGACAAGTGACCCCAGGCAGCCCGAACTGCTCGCCTGTGGCTTTGGGCAGTTGGTGCTTTTTAAAAACATGAATGTGTTTGACGTTCTAGAACTGTTCTCTAAACCAAAAGTGAATTTACCTGCCCAGGCCTGGCCCCAAGGGGGCTCCAGGGCACCAGGCTGCCTGCCTGCTAAGCCCCCGCCCCATGTTCAGCAGCCCCAGGAAGCTGCACGGCCGGCCGGTGGCGGAAGCCTCCAGAATCCTCCCTCCGCCAGGCCTCACGACAGCCTCAGCTCCACCCCTCTCCCCTGGGTGACCGGGGTCGGTGACTGGCCTGCCAAGAAGCAGTCTCCTCGTTTACAAAATGGCGAGACGGGGTCTCCCTGAGGAAGGCTTTCGGGGCCTGAACACCTTAGAAGTGCAGAGATGGCTCCTAGCAGATGGCTTCGCCTCGCACCCTCCTCCCCACACCAGTCTCATGGGTTTTGCTCCAAAATGTACGTGAAGTCTGACCACCTCTTCCAGGCCGCTGTCCTGAAGGGGTCTCCTCTACAGCCCAGCCTCACCCCCCAGCCAGAGCCACCTTCCAGAAGGGGCACGAGAGCTGCGCACTCTCCAGCTGTTTCACTCCCGCTGGGGTAACACCCACACTCCCCCGCCCCGACCCACAGGCCCTGAGGACTCCGGGACCACACCCAGCCCTGTCCTCTCAGCTCCCGAGCCAGCCGAGCGGTCAGCCCGCGGGCTGCTGGTGGCCAGCTCCTCTCCCCCTGCAGGTTCTGTTCAGGGGGTTCCCTCGGAGCAGCCTCCCCCAGCCCCGGCGCTCACTGTCATCACCCCTTACTTCCTTCACATGAACCACAACGGGGAATTACCTTTGTGTGTCGGGTGTTGGCCCATCAGGTATAAGTTCTACAAAGCCAACAGCCCCAACCATATGGGTCACCATGTCCCTCAACCTGGTGGGTGGGTGGATACACGCATGGGTGCTGATGACGGACAGATGAATGGATAGAAGGGTGGGTGGGTGGATACATGCATGGGTGGACTGAGGACGGACAGATGAATGGATAGAAGGGTGGGTGGGTGGATACATGCATGGGTGGACTGAGGACGGACAGATGAATGGATAGAAGGGTGGGTAGGTGGAATAGATAGATGGGTGAGGGAATGGGTGGGCTGGGGAGTGCAGCATCTCAAGCTAAAGCAGTTTCCTTTTGTCTCATTGATCCTTCACTTCATGCCGTAGACAGCTCTCTCACCCACCCCAGGCCCGTCCCTCCACCCCACCCCACCCCGTTAGCTCCCTCAGCACCCCTTCCCCAGCTTGCCTGAGGAATCTCATCTCCTCGTCCTTCTTCTCATCTTCGCTGATGATCTTGGAGGTGGTGATGCTCACCTCCACACCGTCCACCACAAACTTGCGCGTCCTCTTGAGGGTTTTATTGTGCAGCCTGGAGTCCTGGCAGGGGCAATCATTAGGCAAAGCTCAGCCTTTCAGCTAAGAGTCCGCGGGTGGCGCAGTGTGGCCGCACGCCCAGGGAGGGCGCGGCTGCCCACCTTCCCTTTGCTTCAAGCAGGGGTGTGAGTGTCTGAACTTATTACCCCCATTCCGCTCCCTGACCTTGGCCTTCAGACACTGCCCCATGCCGCGCCCCCTAGCGGCCAGCACTCCCACACACGGGACATTTCTAATCCTCTACCACCTACTGGCTCTATGACCCTGGGCAGGTCCCTTGTCCCGGCAGCCTCAGCTTCCTGGTCTTGTCGGAGGAGAAAAGCAGTGCTTGCCTCCCAGGTGGTTCAGTGAGAAAACGCGGGCCGGCTCTTGGCAACTGTGCAGCACTTGGTGTTTGCAGGCACAGTCTGGTGTGCACAACGCCAAAACCCAGAGCCCGGAAAACCACGTGCATAAGGGATTTGGCAGCCAAGCCTGATCTGACCTGAACTCCACTGGGCCACACCCGTCTGGAGGCACCAGGAGCTTATTCATAATCTTTATCTTTTCCTGTGAATAATCAGCATTTCTCAGGCTTGCAGAGCACCGCCCAGACTCCGGGAGCTGCTCACGGCCCTCGGCCAGTTCTCCCGAGTCCCATGCCGCCCGGCGCCTGCACTGGAGCCCGCAGGTCGCTCCCTCTCTAACCTCTCAGCTGGCTTCCGCGCTCCTGCTGTGCCCAGCCCTGCCTTTCCACCTGGCCTGGGGCCCCCAGCCCAGAGGGGGAGCGGAGGGCCCGGTGCTCCCCTCAGTCAGTCCCGGTGCCCTCGGTCGCTCGGACCCGGCTCCTGCTGTCGGGACGCAGGGGTTCTGGACATCATCACCCTGAACAGCCACCCCGACCCCTCTCCCCGCTGTGTCCGGCTCACGTGTCCTAGGACTCAATTCACGATGGTCACAGGGCCGCCCGTCTGAGGCAAGGCAGCCCCGGTGGACTCATCAGAACAGCCACGCCCGACTCCCTGCCATCAGCCAGCGGGAGCGTTCGCAGCGTCCTTGTCCTGGGGAAGGGGCGGGCCCCTCTTCTCCACTCCTTCAGTCTCTTTAACAGCGGTTCTCAGCCTTCCTGACGCCGGGCCCTTTCATACAGCTCCTCATGCTGTGGGGACCCCAATTCCATTGGTACAAAGTGAACATCATTAAAGCACAGTGATTCATCACAAAAACAGTATGTAAGTATATATGTGTTTTCCGATGGTCTTAGGCGACCCCGGTGAAAGGGTCGTTCGACCCCCAAAGGGGTCGCGACCCACAGGTGGAGAACCGCTGCTTTAAGAGGAGGGGAGACAGGCTCCTGTCCTAGGATGGGCCCGAGGCAGTGACCCATCGGAGCTGCTGCCTGCCCGTCCTGGCGGCCTCAGCACTGCGCCTTCTCCTGCCGCAGAGCCCGTGTGCAGTGGCTGCTTCAGTCCCTTCCCGTTGGCAAGTACTTCTGACTCTCTACTGTGTGTTTTCACCAAGTAAACAATGAAAGGAAAAACCAGAAAGATACAGGAACTTCCCTAACCTCGGCCTTGGTTGGGAGTGGGACCCTCAGTGTGGCCCAGGCAAGGAAGTGACCGGCGGTGACAGTGAGGGCGAGAGCATCCCGAGATCTGTCGGAGCCGCCAGCCCTCCGGCCACCGGAGGACAAGCACGAGGCCACGGCCCCAACGGGAAGGCAGAACGGCATGCGGGGCTCAGAGCCCAGAGCGTGGGTCTCCCCAGCCCCCAGTGCCCACCTGAGCCTCCGTCTGCTCATCTGCACACGGATGAAGGGGCCTCTTTCGCTTTATGTTGTTTTTAAAAGCACTTTGCAGTGCCAGGCCCTCAGCACAGCGGTCCTGTCGTTCACAGAGTTCCTCCCAGAAAGGCCGCTGAGCTGGGAGACGGCCCGAGCCCACTCCCTTTCACTGACTCCATCGCCACCACAAACAAGAGAACTTCCACTTCTAGAATCCTCTCCCCGATTTCACCAGGGCCTCTAACCAAACCCAATTTAAATGGAAACCAAGTTGAAACTTAAACCCAAACGAACTGTTTGCTATGACTAAATCCCAGATGAACTCGGATATTTTGAAAATTAAACTGAGTCGAACTAAAAGCCCCATTCCAGGGAGAGAGTCGGAAACATCAGTGGCGAGAGAGAACCGTCCATCGGCTGCTTCCTGCACGCCCCACACTGAGAAGCGAGCCCGCGACCCAGGCACGTGCCCTGACCGGAATCAAACTGTGAACTCCTGGTTCCTGTGTTGACGCTCAACCACTGAGCCACGCCAGCCGGGCAATAAAAATATCTTTTTAAAAAAGGAAAGAGCAATCCTTGTGAGCCACTTAGAAACGAAAGGCAGCCACCAACTGCTCTCAGAAACCCAAACGGAGCCGAACAGCCTGCTCCCGGCCTGCGCGCCACACGGGATGTTACCTTGATGGACAGAGAGCCCGTCTCTCTGTTCAGGGACAGGTCAGCTGACAGGGAGGTGCTGTAGTCCATGCTCTCGGAGGTGGACAGGCTGCCACAGTCCGAGTCCCTCTTGGAAGGAGAGGCCGGGGTGGGGAGCTCCAGGCTGCCGTTGGCCAGCTTCTCGCTGCCCAAGGTCTCCAGGGCGCTGCTGATGGGGCGGCTCTGGCTTGTCTTCCGGGGCCGGTTGGCTGTGGGACTGAGGTCCCCAGCCTGGTCAGCCCCCTGCTTCTCCTCGGGCACCTGAATTCTGGCGCCCATCGACACTGGCCGGGACTTGCGGAGAGGCACGGGCACGGCGAGGCCATTCTCATTCCCAGCGGCCACATCCGGGGGCTTCGTGGTCTGGAGGGAACTGTCCCCAGAGGGCAGGCTGGGCCCGTTCTCCCGGTCCTGAGGCTGGCCGGGTGGCACTGGAGTGACAGGTGGCTCCTGGAGAGGCTTGTTGGCATCAAGGCTCACCTGACTCACCTCAGAAGAGGTGCGAGTGTGGTCCCCTAGGGGCTAGAGGAAAAGAAAAGACAGTCAAGGCCACGCCGCTGTCTGTACAAGGCAACAGCCAGAAACACAGACGCCGACAGGGTGACGTGGGCCCAGGCTGAGGAGATGAGTAGGTATCACTTCCAGCAAGCCACAGTCCTCACCACTCCCGACTGCCTAACCAGCAGCCACAGTACTACTTGTTCTGAGGAACAGGAGTCTTCTGATTGTCTCAAATCTTAGTTTAATGCCTGTTATTCTTCCTAGGAGTGCAGGCAACTGTGGCCAGCGGCTGCTCAGCTCCAGCCAATGTGACAGTGTGGGAAAATGGGTCCCCTCTGGCCAGACCTTCCAAATTTTTCAGGACAAGCCAGAATCTGACTTTCACATGACAGCTCCTGATTTTCAGATGGCAACTAGTTAAAGGCTTTTTTAAAATTGCATAAAATCCAAAATAAACTTACCCAAGACTAGATTCCACCTGCCAGCCACTAACTTATTTTTTCTTTTGATTTCAGAGAGAGGAAGGGAGAGGGAGAGAAGGATAGAAACAACGAGAATCATTGATTGGCTGCCTCTTGCACGCCCCCAACTGGGGGTCAAGCCCCCAACCCAGGCATATGCCCTGACTGGGAATCAAACCTGTGACCTCTTGGTTCATGGGTTGATGCTCAACCACTGAGCTACACTGGCCGGGCCAGCCACTCAAGTTTCGTTTCATTTTTGGAACTTTTGGGGGGTGGAAAGTATCGGAAATTTTGCTATTAAGAAACAGAACACTCATTTATCTAAATAAAACCTCAGTGTTCAGCCTAACGCATAAAGTGAGCACCACACAGCCACCATCCAGGTGAGGAGTGGAACCGTGCCCCGCCCCAGGGAACCCCTGCCGGGCCAACCCTTCCCCTTGACATAATCGCTGTCCTGACTCCGGTCTCTAAGTGCTGTTGGTCGGTCTGCCTGTTTTTAGACTTGATACTGATGCACTCACAATTCCCTTGGGTCCTGACAACCGTTGTTTTGACCTTGCATATGGAAGCTTCCAGAAGCAACTCTAACCCAACTTCTTCAGCACCCAGAGCAAGGGCTCAGAAGCTCAGATCTGATCCTGTCCTCCCACACCAACGCCCAGCTCCTGCCTCACGAGGTCCAAGGCGCCATCTGTATTGGGGAGTGAATGTCCTCCCAGAGGCCCTCCCCAGCCGACTGGACCCGCCATCCAACAACGCAGGACAGGCCCCGCCCACAGGCATGTTCACTGGCTCACATGGTTTTAATATTTAAATTAGCTTTCCTTTAAATTTAAGTCCAGCCAAGTGCTGACACTGCAGGTGGGTTACCACCGTGCCCAGACACGGGTCCCCTGGGCACTCGGGGAGGTCGGGCGGGGCCTGCCGCCTCTGACCACGTGCAGCCCGTACCCGATCCCCACACAGGACACTCAAGGCAGGCTCGTTGTGGATGTGAGCCACCACGGGAAAGGCTGGGAAGCAAGAGCAGCAGCCACCTGTTACAAATTGGTATCTCGTGGAAATCTAGATTCTGGTCTTTCCTGAAAATTGACGGGACCCGCCAACACGCCCTGGCCCACGTGCCAGCTTACGTAACCTGTGGCATGGGAGCCGGTGACCTCCAAGCTGGGGAGACACAGAAAGGAATCCTTCCTGCTCCTCTGGGCGCCCCCCTCACAGGAGCCAAGGCCTGCGGGGGGCCTGTCCCTCCCCAGCACCCATTCTTCCGGGCCTTACCGAGGTGGCGTCCACGGAGTCCTCCTCCTCCCCCTCCTCCCGGCCGTCTTCAATCTCCTCCATCACCTCGGCCTTGGCCTCGGCCACCAGCTCCCGCAGAGCCTTGTTACTGGTGACGCCGCTGACGAAGGGATGCTGCGGGGACAGGACACAGATTAGCCCGGCTGGGCAAGGAGGGCAGGCAGAGGGAGACCCAGAGGAAGCTCAGAAAGTCCTGTGTGTGGCGGAAAGAGGGCAAATCCCGACTGCCCGTCACCGGCTGTGTGACACTGAGCGAGTCACTTACCCTCTCTGGGCGGCAGACACCTCACCTCTGCAGTAGAGACGATGCTGCCAAACCCACCAGGAGGTCATGGCCATTAAAAAGATAACGCCTGCCCTAACCGGTTTGGCTCAGTGGATAGAGCATCGGCCTGCGGACTCAAGGGTCCCGGGTTCAATTCCGGTCAAGGGCATGTACCTTGGTTGCGGGCACATCCCCAGTGGGGAGTGTGCAGGAGGCAACTGATCGGTGTTTCTCTCTCATCTATGTTTCTAACTCTCTATCCCTCTCCGTTCCTCTCTGTAAAAAATCAATAAAATATATTAAAAAAAAAAAAAGCTAACGCCTACAGAGGTGCGCGGCCGAAGCAGGAGCTGAAGCAATGCGGGGGGGCGGTCTGTTTGCACATTGCTTATTTTCTTTTAAAAAGAGGGGCCAGGGTCACAAATCGCCAGTATTCCCCATATTTTTCACATATCTAAGACTTGGAGTGACCACCACTCCAGAGAGAACACTCCCCTCACCTGGAAAAGGTCCCTGTACCCCGGCAGTCAGCACCAGACCCCCCTGCCCAGCTCAGAGGCGTCCTGCCCGCCCGCTCTTCAGCGTCACATGAACAGAGTCCGCCAGTACGCCACCCCCCGTGGCTGAAACTCGTGTCCCCTCCCTGTCGTGTGCACTGGCGAACTGTCCCTTTTGTAACCCTGTGCAGTGTTTTGACTGCGTGACTATGTCAGCTCGTGCGTGCGTTCGTTCCGCTGCGGACGGACATGTGTGTTGCTTCCTGTTTGGGGTGCCTGTGAGTAAAGCTGCCAAGAACACACTGACACGTGTCTGCAGTGGACATGTGTGTCTGCAGAAGTGTGTGGCCGTGTGTGCATTCCCCTCCGCGGCTCACAGAAATGTCACGTCTCTCACAGGCCTTGCAAAACACCGAAGCTGCTGGGGCCTCAGCAGACGTCCAGTCCCGAGGCGGGCGGGCTGGAGGGGGGGCTGGAGGGCGGGGGGGGGGGAGCACCACCAGTTCTGCGGGGGCGCTGGGAAGCCACGATATGGAACGACCTGTGTCTCCCAGCCGGGTGACCCCCCAAGCCTGCCTGCACCTGGGCGTCCTCACCGGGGCAGGGGGTGTGCCCCACCCCTCCCGCTGGGGAAGAGGCAGTGAGCCCCGGCGGCCTGCGCTAAGCTCAGCCCTGACGTGTCTTCTGTATCTCAGCGATCGCCCATCTCTCCTGCGGCCTTTTCTGTCTCCCGCCGAGTCCCTCCGGCAGGACATTTTCCAGCCGCGGAACGGAAATTCCCGGCTCAGCTCAGGGCTCCGCGTCTGCCAGGCGGGGATGGAGGACAGCTGTCCCTTCCCAGAGGAATGTCCTGGAGGCCGGAGGTGCCGGCTCACAGGAAACAGCTGGCCCCCAGCGGCCGGAGCTCCTGTGACACAGGCCCGCCCCCTCTGGCTGGACCGCCCGCCGCCTCCCAGCACTGCCCCACCTGACCCCACAGGCCCAGGAAAGGGGCCTCTGGTCAAATACACCACGGGGACCTGCGGGGGCGGCCGGGCCTCCAACACACGGGCCCCACTGCCCCACCTGACCCCACAGGCCCAGGAAAGGGGCCTCTGGTCAAATACACCACGGGGACCTGCCGGGGCGGCCGGGCCTCCAACACACGGGCCCCACTGTCCCACCTGACCCCACAGGCCCAGGAAAGGGGCCTCTGGTCAAATACACCACGGGGACCTGCGGGGGCAGCCGGGCCTCCAACACATGGGCCCCACTGTCCCACCTGGCCCCACAGGCCCAGGAAAGGAGGCCTCCGGTCAAATACACCACAGGGACCTGCGGGGGCAGCCGGGCCCCCAACACACAGGCCCCACTGTCCCACCTGGTCTCTCTCCATTTGGTCAGTAATTCTCTTCAACCCGTCAAACATCGACGAGCCTAGTGCTTCATCGTGAGGCTACGCTCTTTCTAGAACCTTCTCGCTTAATCCTCACAGCCACCCTGCCAAGGGGACATGGCTGTCATCCCCACCTCAGAGCAAGAACCAAGTCAGAGAGGGCAAGCCACTCGCCCCGGGAGGCCCGGCAGGAAGGGATGTGAACCAGGGCTTCCCACTGCGGCCCACACACCGTCCCCACGGTGCCTTCCTCCCAGAGGAGCGCGGGCGTCTCACGCCTGTCCCGGCTCGGCGCTGGGGGCCTCAGCGTGTCCGTGTGACCGGCAGCCTGAGCCGCGTGTGCCCTCGCGCCTTCTCTCCGCCTCCCGCTGCTCTAACAGGTCACGGTGGAGAGCACGCGGCCTGAGTCCTGCGTGTCCTCGTGGGAACCATCGAATCCAGGGTGGACACACCACTCCACTCTCATCTCCAGCCCCCTGCGCTCACCCGGCTCCTCGCCAGGCCTCCTGGCTCTTCCCGGCTCATGCCACGCGTGCTCACCCCCGACCTTGGCCTCCGCGCTGGCCGGCCCTCGCCGCCTCTGGGTGTTGCTCACACAGAAAGCCCGCTGTGTCCTCCCTCTGCAGGAGCGCCACCCCTCCGGCCGCCCCCGCCCGTGCTGTTCTCTCCAGAGCCTTCGTCTCCCCTGCCAAGTGCCCAACTCTGCCCGTCTGCCCGGCGCCCCCACAGGACACCAGATCCATGAGGACCGGGCTGGGGGCCCCCTTCCCGGCCGCCCTTCCCGCACGGGAGCCGGCGTTTAGGAGGCGCCCAGGAGCGTGGGTCGCTGAGTGAGTGGTGTGCACGCGGCCACCTGGGCCGGGTGAGGAAGGCATCGGCTCCCAGGTCATGGCCGATCTCTGCCATCTGCCCCCCAAGGAAGGCCAGGCGGCAGGGCGGCCCCGGGAGGGGGGCCTCACCTCCAGGAGCTGCGCCGCGCTGGGCCGCGTCTCCGGGTTCTTGTCCAGCGCCGTCTTCAGGAAGTCTCGGAACTCCGCGGACCTGGGGGGCGGGGGCAGCAGTCAGCTCAGACTCCCCATGTCAGGCTCCACTCCCGGGGTCTGTGCTTCCCACACACGCCCGCCAAGGGACAAAGGGCGCCTTCACGGGCTGACAGGCGGAGGCGGCGGGGCCGGCGCGATGACCTTGTCATGGACATCACTGTGCCGACGGGACGTGGAAATCAGAGGCGCGGGGACTTGCCCCAGGCACAGCCGTACTCGGGTTCAAGGCCGAGCCCCAGACCCTGGCCCAAGGTCGTGCCCGGTGGCCGCTGGGCTCCCCTGGGCTCTTGTTCCCACCGTGGGACCCGTGTCGCTGAGTCACAGTCTGCTGGGAGGGCGCGCCCGTGGGGAGAGCACAGAGGGGAGCAAGAGGCCAGGAGGGCCCAGGTCCCCACCTCCCCGCACCCCGCAGCCCCGCTCCCGGCCACCGGCCCTCCAGCAACACCCCTGCTCCTTACCACTTGGAAGGGGTGAGCAGCGTGGGGGGGTCCGACTTGGCGATCTTGAGCAGGACCCGCATGGGGTTGAGCTCATGGTGCGGGGGCTCGATCTGGGCCATCTCGATGAGAGTGATGCCCAGGGACCAGATGTCGGCTTTGCAGTCGTACGGGGTGTCCTTCATGGTCTCGCACATCACCACCTCGGGGGCCATCCTGAACCAACCAAGCGACAACAGAGGGCTAAGCACCTGGCCTCCGCCGGCGCTTCTCAGAGACTCGGGGTCAAGGGCCAGCACTTCCCGAGTCACAGTTTGCATCACTGTCCATCCCACTGTCTTGCTGAGATGTCTTCATACAGAAAGACGCCCTCCAAGCGGCTCCTGGCCACGGCCTGCTGCAGTTCCCGATGCCTGCCACAAGGTGGCAGCCACAATCCAGAACACAGTCCTGGGGAGGGTGGGTGGGGGCAGAGGGGAAGGGGCCCAGAAAAGACAGCACAGGAAGGGCAGTGGAGAGAATACAACAGCCGGAGAGAAGGGACAGGAGACAGGAGGAGGAAGAGGAATGAAAGGGCAGAGAGAGAGAATAAAAGGGTGAGTAATAAGCAAGAAGGAACCTAACCCCACAATGGGAATTAATGCACATGAAAAATAGAGTAGTTAGCTGTGGGTTTTTTTCCCCAAAGGGATAGTTTCGGAAAAGCAGGAAATGCCAAGGACTAGAGGAGTCCAGGGAGACTTCACGCGGGGGCAGGCACTGAGCTGGGTTACTCACCTCCAGCCCCAGCCCGGGCCCTCAATCGCTACTTGCTGAACCATTTTGGGGGGAATTCCAGTTACAGTGCTGTTGATGGAGCCTGTCCTCCGTGCACCAGCCCATGTAACCCTCACAATTACTCCCTAAGTGGGTGCCATTATGTGTCCGATTTTACAGGTCAGCAAACAGGCACAGGGATGCTAGGCACGAGCATGTGGTGGGGACCGGGCTCAGACCTCCTGTCCGGAGGTCACCAGCCACAGGTCACCGTGGGGAGTCTGAGGCTTCACACTGTGTCCACCATTCCCTTTCCAGAAGCCACCTGACTCACCAGTAAGGCGTTCCGATGAAGGAATCTCGTTTCTGCAGAGTTTTCAGATTCTTGGCAGACACACCAAAGTCAGCTGCAAGACACAAACCTCAGATAGAGTATTTGGCGCACATTCTCCATCCACAGCCTGGGTGTGGTTTCGGAGACACCCGCTCCAGATCAGCCACCAAATGCCAACTTCTACCTCGCAAACTAGTGATCATTAAAAACGCATCTGCTGCCCTAACCGGTTTGGCTCAGTGGATAGAGCGTCGGCCTGCGGACTCAAGGGTCCCAGCTTCGATTCCGGTCAAGGGCATGTACCTTGGTTGCGGGCACATTCCCAGTAGGGGGTGTGCAGGAGGCAGCTGATCGATGTTTCTCTCTCATCGATGTTTCTAGCTCTCTATCCCTCTCCCTTCTTCTCTGTAAAAAAAATCAATAAAATATATTTTTAAAAATAAAATAAAAATAAATAAAAATGCATCTGTTGTCAGGATGTACTAAGACATGAACTTCCTACTTGCTAATGAGAGAATAACTGAAGAGCCTTCTTCTAGAAAAGCAGTTTGACAACAAATCACAAGAATCTTCAAAATACCCAGACTCTCTGAGCCAGTAATTCCAAATCGTGACATCTACCCTAATAAAATCATCCTACATAAAACAAAAACTGTGCACACTGATGTTCACCAAAGTGCTACTGTTACGGAAAAATTAAAAGCAAGCATAACTGCTTAGCTTTCAGGGAGCAGTTTTAATTAGCGATGATCGCACCTTGGGTACACCCCAATGGCTATGGTACTGTCACTAAGCAAGCTTCGGGAGTAATTTTAAATGTTTCACATACATTACATAACACACCCTGTGCTTTCCACAAATATTTAAGATGCTCTCTCTCTCTCTCTCATACACACGCATGCGTAAATGGAGAAATTAGGAGAGGTAAGGTAAGGTAAATGGTAAACAATCAGACAGGTTAAGAAAAGTTTATAAACCCCATATGATCGAGTGTTTTACAGTCTTTAAAATTAGTATGTAAGTATTTTATTCCATACTTTAATACTAAATTATGCACATTAATACATATCAATATTAAACATTTACTATGTATTTAATATTAACATTTACTATGTAAATACTTTAACACTTAACAATATGAAGATATTTTATGTTTATACTTATAAGCTGGGTGGGAAAGGGGAGATGCACAGGTGACTATATTGTATGGTCAAAATTATGCCCATCTCCCAAAAAAGGGCAAGGATGTACATTGACCTGACGTGGAGGACATAACCAAAATGTGTACATGGTTGTCGGTGGGTGGTGAGACCAGACAGGTTTCTTCTGTCTTTCTGAATTCCTCACATTTGCTATGGTGAGCATGTATGATTTTCAGGACTAACAAAAAATGAATATAACTTATCTTTTTGTTTTGTTTTTTATTGATTTAGAGAGAGAGAGAGAGAAAGAGAGGAACATCGATTATGCAGTCACTGGTTGATTCTTGTATGTGCCCTGACCAGGGATGGAACCTGAAACCTTGGTGCACTGGGCAGATGCTCTAACCAACTGAGCTACCAGCAGGGCAAACCGTTTCTCTTTAAGCCCCACACCCAGCGCCACCAGTGCACCGAGCAGAATCCAGTGGGGCCAGGGAATCTCCCCAGCGCCCTGGACTTTGGGACTAAGTTTCATCTTGATTAAAAAATAAACTCAGGAGGAAGCAACACCCTGAGAGAGCGGGCAATGGTCAGCGTAGCTTTGTCACAAGAAACTGCTAAGTTGTTACAACCGCAGCCACTCCTGGGGCCTCGGCCTGAGTCTCAGAATGAGCCGCCCCGAACCCCAGCAGGTGACACCGCGGAATTCAATCCCCTGCAAACCAGGGGGGAGCACAGCGCCGAGTGGGCCTGAGCGCCAGGAAGCGGGGCTCCGGTCTTGGCTCTTGTGTTTCACGGGCAGCAGAGAAGGGGGAGCAGGCAGGGAGCGGGGCAGTTCCCAAGCCCGACCCTCGGTTTCCCGGCCTGTGACGGGGATGGTGACACGGCACCGTGGAACTACGTTGTCGGGAGGATTAAATGACACGGGAGAGCACTCGGCTCCGGCCCCCGAGCCAGGAGCCTGAGATTTGGAGGCTGGGGCAAGGCTGAGGTTAGGAGAGCTGGCCTCTGACCCCAGCTGCTCAGACAGACAGCAGTGGCTCAGCTGATGACGACCCTTGACCCTGGCAGGGACAGTCTGGCCTGAGAGGGAGGAGGGCCGGGGCCTGCCACCACCCAGCTGCTGCGGGGGGAGGTACCAACCCAGGTGAGGACCCAGCGCTGCTGCTCCCCGCCCCTCTGGGCTCCTGGTAGGAATGGGCAGAGGCTCACCTGCCCGCTGGGTGCCCCCGGGCCCAGCTCCCCTGCAAACACCACAGCGGAGGGCGCGTCATCCCGGGGAATCTTTCTCGCAGACCCACTGAGGCTCCCCCCCACCCACTCACACCCCCGCCCCCCGCCCTGCCGGTCCCTTCCAAAGAAGGGACAGAACAGCAGAAACCACCAGCTTTCGCGGTGACACCACTTGGTCCCCAGAGCCAGCGAGGAGTGCGATGGCTCTTGGGTAGCTGCTCCTTCCCCTTCGGTCCCACAAGAAGGCCCGTCAGGAGGGGGGCGGCCCCTCCCGCAGCCAGGGTGGCCCCAGCCGTCTGCGCCCTGAATGCAGTTTGCTCTCTGATGGGTGGGTGGCTGCCCTCTGACAATTCAAGGGGGTTTCTCTTCTGCTGAAAACCGCCTCCTCCTCCCATTTGGAAACAAGCATCAGAGACAGGGCAGCGGGCAGGTAGGGATTCGCTTCATCAACTGACATTTCCATAGGAACAGACCAGCCCGGCCGCCGGCCAGCGTGACTCAGACGCTGAGCATCGACCTATGAACCAGGAGATCACAGTTCAATTCCCTGCGATCCACGATTCTCTCTCATCACTGATGTTTCTCTCTCTCCCTATCCCTTCCTCCCTGAAATCCATAAAAATATATTTTAAAAAAGAGGCCAGTCACTCCTGCTCTGTCCACAGCGCCAGGCCCGCAGCTGGCCCGCGCCGCACGCCAGGGTTAGGGAACCCAGACGGGGCTAGAACGCCTTTCCTCGGGAACCTTCAGGAAAACATGGCCACGCGGGGCTTAAGAAGCGTGTTCGACGGCAATTCTACTTCTAGAAACAGATCCTCGAAACCAGATTTATAAGACGAAGCAATATTCAAGGGAGTGAGAAACCGAAAGAAAAGTCCGTCGCTGCTGGAACCCGGTTGGGGAACAGTAAGATAAACTGTGGTCCCCAGACCGGGGAGTAGTACGCAGCCCTGAAGAAGAACGAGGCCGTGACCGCACATACTAACTGGGCGTGTCTCCATAACAAGCTGCTGCCCGACCAGTGCACATCACAGTGGACAGCACGCTTCCGGAAGGGCCCTCAGGAACGGCACACGCGTGTTGTATGTGCCCAGGGCCCACACACCCGGAAACGGGTCTGGAGGCGGCACCGAACCCTCACTAGTGACTCCCTCCCCAGGAGTGAGAGTGGGTGTGGGCAGTGCACTGAGAGGCCTTACGTTTTTACTTCATGAACTTTTATTCTTTTTTTTATACTTTTTTTCTTTTTAATGTGTTTTTGTTGATTTTTAGAGAAAGAGGAAGAGGGATAAATAAACATTGATGAGAGAGAAACATCATTGATCAGATGCCTCCTGCACGCCCCCTACTGGGGATCGAGCCTGCAACCCGGGCATGTGTGCTGACCAGGGACCTCCTGGTTCACGAGTTCTCAACCACTGAGCCACACCGGCCGGGCTCTTTAATGAAGAGTACACATCGCTTTTATGGTTTCAAAAGCTGGCAGGCATATGGCAAAGATTTTGGAGTTTTGGGGTCTTTACTTTTGTTCTTTCTTTTTTTAAAACCCAGCGGGAGCGGGCCAGGATGTGGTGAAAGAACTTCTCCATCCGGGAGGGGTGGTGAGGGGGAGGGGACGGGAACCACCAGTGTGCAGGGCACCCGACCCAGGTTTTAACGAAAGCCTGAAACGCCGCCCAAAGCCCACATTCGCTCTGAGAGCTCCTAAAGGTGCTCGCACAGAGACTCAGACGCGAGCAGACGTGTTCCTCGCCGCCTCCGTTAGAGGAAACCAGGGGAGGAGAAACCTACAAATCCAACTTGAGGGGCTCCATAGGTAAATCACGGTTTACGCACGTGGCCGAAGGCAAGGAAAACATTAACCACGTTTCTGAGAAATATTTAAGGTGCAGGAGAAAACGTCCTGATATTGTTCAATTAGAAAAAAAAATCAGACTGGAAAACTATATATGCACTACAATCCCAACTTTAAAAAAAATACATATTTATCTGCCCTAACCGGTGTGGCTCAGTGGATAGAGCGCCGGCCTGCGGGCTGAAGGGTCCCATGTTCGATTCTGGCCAAGGGCATGTACCTTGGTTGCGGACACATCCCCAGCAGGGGGTGTGCAGGAGGCAGCTGATCGATGTTTCTCTCTCATCGATGTTTCTAACTCTCTATCCCTTACCCTTCCTCTCTGTAAAAAATCAATAGAATATATTTTAAAAAATAAACAAAAATTCTTCTAAAAAAAATACATATTTATCTAATAAAAGCTAGTATTTATTGAGACCTTACTGGTGTGTAGCACCATGCAAAGAGATTCATGCCTCTCATTTATATCTGCCTTGGTGTGTCATTTGCATACATCTGCATATATATTCCTATGCACGGTAATCTGATCTAGGACCCTGTGGGCGGGGAAAACTTATTATACCCAATTTACAGATGAGAAAACTGAAGTTAGGGACTAAGTAACTTGTAACCAGCTCTTCCTTCTCTGTGGGTCCACCCATTCCAAACTCTATCTCTATACTCACTTATACACACATTTCCCCCCTGATTAACAAGGCAATCTATATATATAAAAGCCAAGAGACCAGAACAACCAGAATGACTGGTCCCTATGTCACGCACTACGGCCGGCCAACAGGCCGGATCGGGGGTGGGACCAGCCGGCCAACCTCCCATGGTCCCGCCCCCTGGCCAGCCTGGCCCCGATCAGCCCCAATAGGGGTGGGGCAGCCGGACCCCAACCATGCATGAATTCGTGCACTGGGCCTCTAGTACTGCTTATAAAAAACTCAAACGTTTAACTGATTATAAAGCAGGGGTCCTCAAACTACAGCCCGCGGGCCACATGCAAATACAAATATTGTATTTGTTCCCGTTTTGTTTTTTTACTTCAAAATAAGATATGTGCAGTGTGCATAGGAACTTGTTCATAGCTTTTTTTAACCTATAGTCCAGCCCTCCAACGGTCTGAGGGACAGTGAACTGGCCCCCTGCTTAAAAAGTTTGAGGACCCTTGTTATAAAGTCTCCATAATCTGGTGGAGATAAAACAGTTAGGAATTCGCTACCCACGGCTCAGATGTGTTTATTTACAGCATTTAAATTATTTATATTTACATTATTTATGTAATTTAATATTATGAGAAGTGAAATAATCCAATCTGCAAAAGATAAATATCACATGATCTCACCTATTTGTGGAATCTAATGAACAGAACGAACTGACCAACAAAAACAAGACCCGAAGCAGAGAGGCCTGGAGCAGGCGGACATACCTCGATGCGGGGTTGGGGGGATGAGAAGAGATAAGGAAGGAACTTACATGCTCACATATACTGCCCATGGACACGGGCAACAAGGTGGTGGAGGTCTGGGGGGTGACTAGGGGCTGAGACGAGGGAGGTAAAGGGGGGGAAGTGGGAGATAGCTGTAATACTATCGACAATAAAAAATCCAGTGAGAGAAAAGACATAAACAAACACGGCTGTGACACGTGTGCCTGATGCACGCCTTTCTCTCCGGGAGGGACGCAGGGCTGGCCTCCACCTGTCACTCTCACTGAAATTCTTGCGATTGGACGCAACAGCAAAGGGCGAGACCAGCCCCCCGCCCACCTCCACTGCGGGCCTTGGGGCAGGGCTGCTCTTTGTCTGGAGGGGCCGAGGGCCGTCCTGTGTGCTGGATGCTGAGTGTCCCCACCTCTACACACCAGGTGCCAGTGTCCCTCCCCTGGTTGTGACAACCACAGGCGTCCCCGGGGGACAAAATCACCATCAACCGAGAGCCCACGGGAACCGCAGGGGCCCAGGGGTCCAGAGCAGGTGAGGAGGGCTGTCATGTCCTGGGGGCCTGGCAGCGAGGCTCCCACACTCGCCCCTCCTGCCCGCAGAGGCCGTGGGGCTCGGCCCCGCACTCCGCCGGCAGCCGCCCTTACCCAGCCGGATGTCGCCCTCCAGGGTCATCAGCACGTTGCCGGCCTTCAGGTCCCGGTGGATGATCTTCTTGCCGTGCAGGAAGTGGAGGGCTTCTAGCATCTGGCGGCAAACGACCTGAATCTGGGGCTCGGTGAGGCCTCGGTCCAGCTCTGGAACAGAGAGATCTACTGTCAATTCTGCAAGCGCTCGCTGCGGGCACCTCAAGGTCAGGCCCACAGCAGGTGCACGAAATCTAACACCATCAACACCGCGAGCAGTGACTGTGTGCCAGGCTCACCTCTAAGCACCTCCCTTGTTACCTGTGCCCTCCTCACAGCAGCCTTCTGGCGCGGGCACAATTATCTCCCCATTCTACAGATGAAGAAACTGAGCCTCCGAGGTCAGGTCACTTGCTCAAGGTCACAAAACAGCGGTGATGACTACTGTATTTTTTTGTTATTGCCCAAGCTTGCTGGGGACATCAAGACTTGACAACAGCCCTGGCTGGTGTTGCTCAGTGATTAGAGTGTTGGCCCACGCACTGAAGGCTCGTGGGTTCCACTCCTGGTCAAGGTCACATACCTGGGTTTACAGGTTCGATCCTTGGCCCCAATCTGGGCGAGTGTAGGAGGCCAACCAATAAATGTGTCTCTTTCACACTGATGTTTCTCTCTCTCTCTCCCTTCTCCCTCCCTCCCTTCCATTCTCTCTAAACATGAATGGAAAAATAGTCTCAAGTGAGGATTATAAAAAGACAGAGAGAGAGAGACTTGACAACCGCCCTGGCCAGTGTGGCTGGGTTGGAGGGTCATCCCATACACTGAAAGGTGAAGGGTTCAATTCCCAGGCAGGGCACATACATGCCTGGATTGCAGGTTTGATCCCTGGTCGGTTGGGGCAGGTATGGAGAGCATACGGAAGGCAACTCATCAATATTTCTCTCACACATTGATGTTGCTCTCCCATTCCCTCCCCAACTCTCCCCCTTTCCGCTCTCTAAATCAATAAAAAGCATATCCTCATGTAAGAAAATATTTTTTAATTTTTTAAAAAAGACAACATCCCCATTCAGCTTTTACAAAATGGGGGGTGGGGATCCCCACTTTTCAAAGAACTTCCCTCAGGTGTCTCCTCGTCACCTCCTAAGAGTGCTGTGGGGTTGGGCCAAGGCATCGTCACATCCGTCTTATGGCCGAGAAGGCTCAAGGGGGCAAGTGAGCAGAATGGGTTGGTCTTCCCACCAGAGTCCTGCTTCTCTACCTGACCCTAACCCCTGCCCCCGAAAGGGGACAGAGCGGGCGGTGCTCACAGGTCCGGGGAATCACTGGGGTGGGCGTGAAGGACGCCTGCCCTAGACAGAGCCAACCCCCACACCCTGGACCAAGGAAGACTCACCCAGCATGATGGCATCCACAGCTCCCCCCGCACAGAACTCGATCATGATCTGCAGAGAACACAGCAAGGCAAGGATGAGCAGGGCGCAGCTGACGAGATGGGGGGATCCCAGCTCCCGCCTCTCCTCCTCCTGCCCCAGGGACTGTGCCGTCTGTACCACCACCACCCCCACCCCAAACCCTCACAGGAGGCTCCAACACCCAGAGGAGCTGCTGGGGCACCTCATTTATCAGAAAAAGAAGCCAGGTTGCCATGGGCACCCCAGGTCCAGCCGAGCCCACACCCTCCCTTCCCCCTCAGCCTGTGGTGCTCACGCTTCCCCGCCGCCCAGCTGCCCCATTTCTGTGCGTGACAGCAGGTATCAGAGGACACCTCAGCCCACATGCAAGCTGTCCACGTCCCCCGAGTCCCAGCACCTGTCTCTCGGCCTCTTCGTCTCCCAGAGCCTGGGGCTCCGGCTGCCTCGGGCCTGGAGGGGCGGCTCAGGGAGAAACCAAGGCCAGAAAGGGGATGGATGTGATGACCAAGGACACAGACTGTCAGCGGCAGGTCCCAGACTGGAAAGCAGGTTTACTAACCCGCAGGTCACTCAGGCAAGCATTCCTTCGCTCCTCACTCACCCACTCACTCAATAACTCACTCACTCAATAACTCACTCACTCACTCACTCACTCATTCACTCACTCACTCAATAACTCACTCACTCACTCATTCATTCACTCACTCACTCATTCATTCCTTCACTCACTCACTCGTTCATTCCTTCACTCACTCACTCATTCATTCACTCACTCATTCCTTCACTCCTCACTCACTCACTCAATAATTCACTCACTCACTCACTCACTCATTTACTCACTCATTCAATCACTCACTTGCTCATTCATTCACTCACTCATTCAACCACTCACTCATTTATCACTCACTCACTCACTCACTCAATAATTCACTCACTCACTCATTTACTCACTCATTCAATCACTCACTTGCTCATTCATTCACTCACTCATTCAACCACTCACTCACTCATTCATCAATTCACTCACTCATTCATCCTTCATTCACTCATTCACTCATTCATTCATTCATTCACTTACACATCATTCATTCAACACACACCCCTGGGAGCAGGCCCTAGGAGAATCACGAGACCCAGGCCCCAGGGGCTCCCAGCCCAGTGCAGGGGATGGAAAAGGGCAATTAGAGTAAAAAGTGCCCTGAGTACCCACACAGGCTCCCCCTCTGGTCTCCTCCCATCTTCACTCCCACCCCCTCTGGGCCCCTATTTGTAAACATGCTTTCTCTTTTTGCTTGAAGCGCAGATTCAGTTGGGTGGGAAGGGTGGAAAGTGACACAAACTTCAAGATGCTCCAGAATCTCTCCCTCCTTCGGCTCCTGGCCCCTGCTGGCTGGGAAGTCCCTCCAACCCAGAGGCACACACACGGCCCCAGGGGCGGTCAGAAGGGCAGACAGCTCCTGAGTCTAACTGGGCACAGCCCAAAAGGAAAGGGCGGTAGACGGCCCACGTCCTGGCAGTGCCACTGGCCTGGCAGTGTGCCCCTGGTTGGGTCAGCCACAGCCTCTCCCCAAGCGAACGTCCTCACCACCTCTCCCTCCAACAGCATCAAGACAGTCAAGTGAACAACACACCAACTAGCATGGACTTGTTAAACCTCTAGCAATCGGAGTCACCAGAAAGCGCCACACTTGTCACGCTTGGACGATGTTCCTTAGCTTCCTACAAAAATACGCTCTCCGAGAACTAGCTTATCAACACACCCAGTTATTACCAAGAGTCCGTGGGAGCAGTGGCCAAACCCAGCGGTTCCCGCCTGGTTCAGGGGAAGTTCCCACACACCACGCCCTCACCCCAGTCCACGACCCGCCCTCACCCCAGCCCACGACCTCCTCCCGGGTTCGCGCCAGGAAAGCAGAGCTTCCCACCAGCCTGGCTCCTTCCTCTTCTGCAGCCCCTGCTGCTTCCCTTTTCTTCTTTGACTTTTGCGCCTTGGCTGCTGGGACGCTCTGAGCTTAGCTTCGGTTTTATTCCCATAAATAAAGGCACCAATCCTTGGCTGTACGCCAGGACTGAACCCACGCTATTTCACAATTTGTGTGTTGACCGCGACACCGTGCTTTTAGGAAATCGCTGCCCCCCACCCGCACGTACGAAGCTGGAAGCGCTCTCTGACACAGCAGTCCCCACGTGAATCAGGGCGTGGGTCAGGGTGAGGATCCGGCATCCTCTTCGTAAACATTGCCCAGTAAAGTGGTTAGCTTTTCCTTCTTTTTTTGAAAGTGTTTTTCTTTCCTCCTGTTCGTTTTAAATGCTTCAAGGCTTCATGCCTTTTGTAGTGATGATGAAAAAAAAAATTGACCAGCAGCCCCTTCAGTGCACAGGACGATGCTCAACCAACTGAGCCACTGGCCAGGGCCCATCACATGGGTCTCAACACCTCCCTCTCAGCTCCTCAGGGCTAGGGCTGCAGGGGACTCTCAGAAATGCAGGGGATTTGATTCGCAAAACAATAACCGCAATAAGTAATTATACCTAAAATAGTCACCTTCATGCCTTAGGAAGTTACTAAATATGCATGCTTAGGAAAGAGAAAGCACATACATCAGTACCCAGGGGAGGACTGCAAGGGGTCTGTACTTGTACGCTCCACATTTTAGTCAATGAACATAAAATTTTATATTAGAGCCCTGGCCAGTTTGGCTCAGTGGATGGAGTGTCAGCCTGTGGACTGGAGGGCCTGGGTTCGATTCCGGTCAAGGGCACATGCCCGGGTTGCGGGCTCCATCCCCAGTAGGGGGCGTGCAGGAGGCAGCCGATCAATGATTCTCTCTCCCTATCCCTTCCTCTCTGAAATCAATAAAAAGTATATTTTTAAAAAATAAAATTTTATATTAGAAATAAACTTTTTTTTTTACTGGAAAGAACTGGCCTAACATAACCCCAGGTTGCAGATGTACGTATTCATCTGAGAGCGGGGGTGCCTGTGCCCACGGCGCCCTGGGGTGAAAGGAGGCTCCGGGGGATCCAGGGTTCCTGGGTGCAAGCTCAGGCCTCCGAGCCCTCCTTCCACAAGCCCCAACTCCAACGGCTCCCGGGACCAAGGACCGACTCCTCGACCCCACGGACGCTGGTCCTTCCTGCTCCCTCAAGAGGGCGGCAAGCAGCTGTGGCTCGGGTTTTCTCAGGACCTGGAGAAGGGAGGCTTGTGATCAGTCCGACCCATGGACAACTATCACTCAGGGCGAACCAGGGGCCATAAAAGTAGTATTCAATCAACAAACACTATCTGGGCTGCTAGTGTGTGACAAGCCTGGGGACTGGTGACCTAGGACAAATCAGACAGGTCCCTGCCCCACGGCCACAGGCAGAGGCAGACACAGAGATGAGCCGTGGTGATGCATTTCAGGGAAGCCTATGGTTGAAGTGGTAACCAGGCCTGGAGCTACCCTGGAGGGCTTCCCAGAGGAGGAGACATCCAGGCTGGTTTCTGAAAGGCAAATTTACCAGGTGAAGAAAGACAACAACATTCCAGGCAGAACACAACACGTGCAGAGGGTGGCCGCCTGGAAGCCTGTGGAAGGGGGAAGAGGAAAGGGGGAGGGGGAAGTGTTCCACGAGGCTGGAAGGATAGGAAGAGAGCAGGCTGCAAAGGTGGACTGGAACTGGAACATCCCAAGGCATGAACTGGACCCTGAGAGCCTGTGCGTGTGTCTGGGGAGAGGCGCTGAAGGGTTTTAACAAGGGGTGCTGCACTCAGGTTTCTGCTTCAGGGACACCCCGGATGTGTTAACTCTGGAAGCTGGGAAAGCAGGGAACGGTGGATTTAGGGCAAACAGCAAACCTTTCCCTTCCTGAAACAGCCATGAGAGCGGGATGGGACACACCTCACCCCCCCATCAGGGGGACTCTCTGCCTTTGCCCTGATGGCTGGTTCAGGGCTGGTCTGATCACAACAAAGCTGGTGAGGTTTTGAGGGGGTGGGTGTGTTTTTTTTTAATATATATTTTTATTGATGATTTCAGAGAGGGAGGGAGAGGGAGAGAGATAGAAACATCAATGATAAGAGAGAATCATTGATCAGCTGCCTCCTACACACACACACAGACACACATACACACACACACCCCACTGGGGATCGAGCTCACAACTCAGGTATGTGCCCAGACCAGAATCGAACCCAAGACCCCTCAGTCTGATGCTCTATCCACTGAGCAAACCAGCCAGGGCGGCGCTGGTGAGTTCTGGTGAGTTAGGAAGCGCAGGGCCCTGATGGGTGCAGGCAGCCACCTGGCACCACGAGGGAAGCCAGTGTGAAGGCAGCTGATACAAAGAGGAGGGCAGAGAGAATAAGGGTGACAGCCCTGCTCCAACTCCCCCTCAAACCTGACCTCCCTCCGGACTTTTCAATCAGGACACGCAAGCCAGTGAATGTCTCCTGTTGTTCAAGTTCGTCTGAGTTGACACTTCTCTGTTACTTGTCACGGAAAGTATCCAATCGCACATTTGGCAAGAGGTACTGAGGCTGAACTGGGCAACGGGAGGAGGCCAAGGACGCTATCCCGTGGGGCAAGGGCGATTTCCCAGGAATCTCTGGTGCGACCCGCGGACAACACTGCACAGGGGCCCTGAAGCCTGAGCAGGCACAGAACCCCCCGGGGGCTTGTTAAACCACCGACGGGCGGCCCGCGTGGCTCAGTGGTCGAGCGTCGACCTATGAACCCGGAGGTCACGATTCGATTCCCAGTCAGGGCACCTGCCCGGACTGCAGGCTCGATCCCCCCATGTGGGGCGTGCAGGAGGCAGCCGATCCATGATTCCATCTCGTCATTGGTGTTTCTCTCTTTTTCTCTCTCTCCCTCTCCCTTCCTCTCTGAAATCAACAAATATATTAAATAAATTAAAAACAAACACACAAAGACGGGTCCCACCCCAGAGTTTCTGCTATGGGGGGTCTGGGGTGGAGCCCACGAGTCTGTGTTTCTAACTAATGACCCGGGGGTGCTGCTGCTGGTCCCCGGACCACACTTTGA